TATCCTGAAATTCCACTTCCTTAGTTGTTGCTCCAATTCTTCGTTCTTTTGTGCACTGCTTCCTTGACTCCAAAATAGACTTGAAATACTCCAAAATACTCCCTTCTTTGCTCATTGTGGATAATTATATCTAAGAAAATAAATCACACAAATGAATCTCAATTCACACTTAATTTAGGGCACTTTATATGTACAAAATGAACCAAAAACAAAGGGTTAAATATAATTAAGAATGAGTGTTATCATTGAGTTAGTTGTAACGGCTTTTGCCGCCAAAGTTGATCCATATATTCCCCTCTGTAATCTCATTTCCCAGATCATCAAATAATAGCCATCTTAATGCATTCTCTCAAATCCAGTTTCCCCTAGCTCTTCGCTCCCTAATTCGTCGTCAATGATGATATGGATGCAAAAACAAAATATTATATTATTTTCCATTTTTGGAATTAGGTCTACAAATCACAACTCACAAGAAGAAATGCCACAAGATTTTTATTTTGAACATACAAACTGGGAATCTTACACGACGACAAGGGGACTGACTTAACTGAGTACAAAGAGGAATTTATATTTTTTGGTACGTTCTCACATGGCTGCCACGGAAGTGGGATTCACGATGCTGCAAACGTCGCGGATTTCGAGCTGGACGCCGGCCGACGGAGCCAGGTTGCCCATCTTCACCATGGCGGCGGCGAAGTCGAAGAGGAAAGCGCCGGGGCCGTCCCTGTATCTAATCACGGCGGCGGTTGTGGTTGTGCCGTTCAATAGCACTTGGTCCGAGAAAAGGAGGCCTTGACCGTCGACTATGTCCCGGAAATAACGCGTGTCCATGGTGCTTGGTGTGGGGTCCAGCCCGACCAAACCCGTGTCTCCCGCTGCCACGGGGCAGGTGCATTGCAGCGTCGAGTTTCTGGCTTGGTTAAGGTTATTGCTGCTACACAAAACCGCGCACCTAGAGAACCCCACCGTGTGCGCTCCGGCCAACGCCACCATCTCCGTTTGGTCAAACCCCTTGTCGGCGAACTTGCGGGTTTGTGTTGCCAGGTCGTCGAACGGAGCCGGAAGTTGGTTATTTGCTCCGGTGAGGTTGAAAGATCTTGCATCTCTTCTCCCCAAGTTCACAGTGTAGGTTTGACCTCCCAGCTGACCATCATTAATAACCAATTAACCACATATACATGCATACTAAATTGAAATCCAAATTCAAATACAACTTACTTTAACAACCGAGTCACGAGCAGCAATAGCTAAGACATCTGCACAAGATACAGGTGTATCTAAACATTTAGATTTGGCGTTTTGTTTAGCCCGCTCAATCACTTCAAACCCCCTAACTGAGTTAGCATTGGCTGGTGCACTTTGCTCGCCATTAGTGGCATTTAGAAGGATCCCTCCATCGCAACCCTAATATAGATTACATTATATATATTAACATAATTAGGAACACGTACCAAAGTTTTTATTGTTGAAAATAGATGAATTGAAGACAGATAATAATTTACGTACGTCCACAAAGCAGTCATGGAAGAAGAGACGAATGAGAGAAGCTCCCATGCGTGTTTCATTAGTAATGGCAGCTTCCACAATTTCTTTAACAGCGGAGAAGATGCAAGCTTCGTCGGAAAGCATGCCGGACGATGATTTACCCAAACCTAGAACCCTTAGAATGTTGGCTGACTCTAATGTTTCATCATGCAGCCATGTCGGGATAAGCTGAAGCTCAGTGCCATTAATGGCTGAGTGAGTGTTCTGGTAAATAGAGTAGCCAGCTAGGGCCAGAGCCACGAAGCTCAGGGCTAGACTGAGCTTTGTTGCAAATGAAGCCATGATGTAATGCTAAGAGAGAAGTATGAAGAAGAAGAAGATGGAGAATGGCTTGAGGATGAATTGAAGGGCTTCCATGGCAGTGCTTAAATAGGAAAAGCGGTAGTCGCTAAAGTCATTGTTTATTGTCTGGGAATAAATTAAAAGTAAAATTAACTGACGACAAAACATAGGTGGTTTTGCTATGTTGATTAACCCTCCAACTTGTCAAAACCACGCTTTGAACAAAGCATATAAATTCAACATTACATTACTTTCTTGCTGGTTTCCTGTCGTGTGGTTGCCATATTCAAAATAGTATGCCCACATTTTCAGCTTTCAATTGCATATATAGAGATTATTAGGGAGGGGAAATAGCAAGCTAAGTGGTGGGGAGTGGAAACAATTCCAACCAAGTTGGTTAAACAGTTAACTTGGTAACGGAACGATTGACTATGAACAAACTATGCTAGTTTACATCTAATTATTAATTTATCAACTAGGGTCACAAGACAGAGTTTATCCCTAGCACACTCTTTTTTCATTGATTTTTTTTTTATTTGTTTTGTTATTGAAAGATATGAAGAAGTCCATAAAACATTTTTGAGTTGAATGTAGATGCCACACTACAAGTTCAAAATCTAAATTCGTACCTACATACTTATTAATTACATGCCTATTTTTAGACACTTTTTTGTAGGCTTAGTTGATTTACTCTACAAGTTTGAACCCAAAACTTAATGAATTTTTATTACCCAATTGGCTTACACAATAATCCATGAAAATACAGATTTTGTGACACGATATTTATACATGTAATTTTTTTTGTGTCACTTTTTTGGAATACATATATATTATTATATGGGGACCAAATTTGTGGTTAACACGAAAAGAATTTATATCTCCTAAAGTAAGATTTTGAATGCGAACCTTCCAGATAGTATAATAAGCATTTGTTCAACTAATTTAATTTTAAAAGGAAATAATGTATCAATTTAAAATAAACCATGACTACAAATGAGTGTGACAACAGCTCTCCCTCCTATATGCTGATTTTGTTTAATTTCATCTAACAACTTTTGCTTTGTCAGCTTCTTAAGTTTAATTTTCGTTTTTGATTTAGAGAATCCTTCAAAAGAAAAATTAGTTGCATTTGATCATGTGTGTGTGTATATATATTTAATAATATTTTCATTCCAATGCTTGTAATTTTCTGATCTACAATTAATAAAAAATGATTAGTTGTTGCTATAATTTGTTTGTATACATTTGGCCTAATTATTGTGCTGATATTAGTGCAATAAGGCTTACAATAAAAAGTGACTATATGCTTGACGTATCCATGTAGCAGGATTGTTTGTAAGGGTGGCATGCAGGTTATATATTCTTCTTTTTTTTTTTTTTTTATTGTGACAAGAAAAACCTCTAGTCATTACTCAAGAAGTCAATGTTATACACATGATAAACTCGTGTATGTTTTTATATAATAGCCCACAAATTACACAATATAGTTAAATTGTATTAAAAAGATATGTATGTGTTACAGATTAAACTGAGAGAGTGTTAATAAAAATCGAACTCATAAAAAAAAAATGAATTAATCATCCACAAATGTAGTTTCATTAATATTTCTTTTTTATTAATGTTATTACTGGATTATGGGCTGATCTGGTATGAAACCGATGCTATTATATAACACATAGGCGAACTGGCATTGCCAACATAAAAGCCCGTCATGGAGATGTTGATTCTCCATGAAAGGCTTTTAATGTACATCTTAGAGAAGAGGTCTATGAACTCAAGTAGAGAATTTAGCCCACAAGGGAAAAGTGAGAAGGCCCAATAGGTAGTTGGCCTAATAGTTTATTGTTCAATCATTATTGTATGGACCATGGTCCATACAAGTTGTGAGGACCATATTTGTATATTGTAAAATAATGTACATTCAATACAAAATTAATGTATATTCAATACAAAAATAATGTACATTATATTTAGGTGATATACATTATTTTTGTACTGAATGTACATTATATTGTATAATATATATTCAGTACAAAAATAATGTACATTTAGTATATTAAAAATGTACTTTTTATTATGGTCCACATAACATTGTGTGGACTATGGTCCACACAATAATTTGTCTTTATTGTTGGCAAATTATACTGTGGACGGTCCACATGAACCATAACCAAAACGGCGTCCTTTGAAGTTTTCCCGTTAATAAGGGTAGACGGAAAGTTCCGTTATGCTCCATGTAGCAACATTTGTTATTATTCAGTTTTATTTTGTGCACACAACATACTGTAGTTTCGTTTCAACATAACTACAAATCTATAATCTATAATATAATTCTAAACGAAACTACAAATCTATAATCTATAATATAGTTCTAATTCAACTACATTTTCATTCAACAATATACACTCAGTATGTGAGATCTGCTATTTAATTGCATTTTATATACAATATTATAATTTCATTATAGCACCACTAAAATATTATTATTATTATTATTATTATTATTATTATTATTATTATTATTATTATTATTATTATTATTATTATTATTATTATTATTCAACTAGAATTTCATTTGATAATATATGCTCAATATGTGAAACACGCTATTCAGTTTCATTTCACACATTATAGTTTCATTACATCACTACTATAGTATCATTCTAATTCAACTGCAATTTCATTTAACAATATACACTCAATATGTGAGACTTGATATTCAGTTTCATTTTATGCATAATGTAGTTTCATTATGGCACCACTAAAGTATCATTCTTGTATCATTCTTATGTAACTACAGTTTCATTTGACAATATACACTCAATATGTGAGACATTATATTCAGTTTCATTTTATACACATTGCAGTTTCATTTCAACAATTCAACTACAATTTCATTTGACAATCTACACTTATCATGTGAGATATGCTATTTAGTTTAATTTTATACATGTAGTTTGACTAGTTTCATTTCAGCATAACTAAAATAAGTATAGAATATAATATAATTAAAAAGCATATGGCGGGAGATGCATATAAGATTATATTGTCCTGTAACAGCCCAGCTCCATTGATGAATTGAAGAACTTACATAATTAACGTAACAATTCAAGAAGCAACTAACATAAATAAGATAGATGTGCCAAAAAGGAAGAGAAATTAATGAAGAACCAACCATACATGCAATGGGGTAAATTAAATATCCTAATTAACGTAACCTAGCCAGCCAGCCTAGAAATGATTGACAATGATATCCTCAACCAGCATCCTAGATTTGTCCATCAAATCTGGACTGAGCCTGAACATGAGCACACAAAACTCCATCTCGCTCAGGCATCCATCTCCGTCCACGTCCCCTTCATTCAACATGCACCTCAGCTCCTCGTCGCTCATGTTGTGCAACCCCAGCAGCGCCGAGTTCCTCTTCAAGCTCTCGAACGTTATCACATTCGTCTCCCCATCCGTCAGCAGCCGGAACCCGTTAAACAGCTCCTTCAAGAACCCTTCTGCTCCAAGCTTCTCCACCATTGATGGGAACAAGTCCTCAAACACCACCTCGCCTCCCACCTCCATTATATATATTGCTTCAATTGCTTCAATTCGATTGGCCTGGCCTGCAATTATGGAGATCGATCATATCGATCGATATTCTTGCATTGGGGGTTTAAATAAGAGGCCGGTTAATTGAAAGTAGGAAATAATAATATCTGATAATCTTGGCATGGTGGAAGGAGTGGTACAGATGGGTTAAGAAAGGAAAGATGGTTTGATGAAAATGGCAAATTAGCGTGATGGAGATCGAGTTTGGAAGGTTTTAGGAAATGATGTTTTATGTGGAAGCTTTCATGGGAACGGGGCATTTCTTCTACTTTCCTCGAAGTTGCATGGAAACCCACTCTCCAACATTTCTGTACTCTTATTGGTGGGGATTCAATTAATTTGTATTTATATCTATCTTTTCCATTTTCCTTTTCCCAATGCCTACTTTGCTTACACATAAATTAAACTTGGTTTCTTATGATGGGCACTTTCCTAATTCCTAGTTTCCTATATATGACTATGCACCCCCCCTCCCCTCATAACAATCAATTTCTTGTACGACGTACAACTTCTTCAACATATGCGGCTGCCTAAGTTTTGTCTATATCTCCCATAAAGTGTATGCATGTAGTAATTATTTGTGTTCAACGACAAAATTAAATGAACGTTTTAGTAATTAATGGCCTAGCAATCATCTGGTAACAATTAGCGGATTATGTTAACGGTTAGCGAATTTGACCAGCAGATCAATTTATAAAAAAATGTTTAATAAAATTACTTGTTTAAGATTAGCGGTTAATAAAAGAAAAGAAAAAAAAAAGATCCAAACACGGCTCCCCTTAATTTTGTCACTTTTCTCACATCAGTAGAAAAAATGACATGAGAGCCTTGGTAGCAAGCATTGAGCAGCCAAACTGGCTCCTGCATTAAAGGAGCCGTAATGGTTCCACGATAATCTTTGTTTTTTTATTTTTTGTTTAATAAACATAGGAGCGTTTTGGAGAAAGGAAAATCTTTCCCCAAAAACGTTAAGTGCAAACGCTGCAAATTGCATCGTTTGCATTTTCAGCGATTTAGGATAAATCACTGTTTCAAAACCGCTGAATAACCAAACACCTTTTTAAGTGTTTTAACATTGGGGGAAGTAGTGGATTCAGCAAAATTTTAACAAATAAATCATTTACCAAACATGTCCAAAATGTCATCATTTCACAACCTCGATTATTGTGAGGAATTTATTCCTTCCGATCCTTTAGCAATGCCTTCCTAACGGGAGTAGCTTAGGCAAGCCCTTGTACAAATAAAAGAAAGGAGTAGATAAACATTAATCCAACATTAGCTAATGCATTGATCGGATGGACTTCAATTTTTTTACGATTGCATAAACTGATGAATTCGCTTTTAATAGAGAGAGTATGAGACAATTTAATTACACAAAAAATTTATACTTTTGGTCTAATGAGTATGATGTCATTTTCATATTTAGTCCATGACTATTGAAATTTTCAGATTTAGTCTAACGATTTTTAAATCTCTATCACATTTGGTCCTTCCAATCAAAATTCTAGCCACCAATGACCATATCCCCGACGAGTGAATTATCTTAAGGACAAAATTGTCATTTTATTAAAATTAATTAATCGAGCAACAAAGTTGAAGAAAGGGATTTGGGGGAAAATGACAATTTTGTTCTTATAATTCACTCGCCGGAAATATAGTCACCGGTGACCGAAATTTTGATCGAAAGGACTAAATATAGTAGAGATTTAAAAATCGTGAAACCAAATCTAAAAATATTAATAGTCAAATATCAAATGTGAAAATGACCTCATATTCGTGAGATTAAAGTGAAAATTCTTCATTTACACAATATATCAAGAACAAAAAAGCAATAAATTAAAGAAATTTATGTTGTTGAATTGGACCCAGAAAGCCTACAAAGAAGTGGGACTTCCTACTTTATAGGTTAGAGCATCCACATTGGTTGGGAAGAATGGGGAGATAATGTAAGAGTGATTAGGAAAGAGAGTGTGGGAGAGGAGAGAAAAAAAAAAAAAGAAAAAACAAAACAAAAAAAAAATTAAAAAAAAAAAGAAAGTAGTCAGACGCGTCAGGCGCGCCGACTGGCGCGCCTGACGCGCCTCCGGGCGCGTGCAGTGCACGCGCCCGGCTTTTGCCCAAGGCTGTGCGCGAACGCGCACAGCCTTGCTTCTTCTTCTTTCTCTTTTTTTTTTTTTTTTTTTTTTTTTTTTTTTCTGACAATCTCCCTACATTTGCAGGGAGATTATTTTTCAATTATCTCATGTCCACACTAGCTATTATCTCATGAAGGGAAGATTTAATTCTGAATTCTCCCCACAATATCCACAAGTGTGGATGGCCTTAGGGTGATATCCCTATTCCTAAGCCCATAAGGTAAGAAATCGTAAATTATGATATGGACTCGCATCCACCATATTTATAGTGGACACGCTATACGTTCATAATTTCTATATTATAGATTCATAATTTTTATACTGTAGATTCATAATTTTTAAATTGTAGATTCATAAAATTTATAATGTAGATTCATAATTTCTATACTGCACGTTCATAATTTATGTACTGTAGATTCATAATTTATGTAATGTAGATTCATAATTTCTAAACTGTATAGTTATCAAATTATGAACACATAGTTATCAAATTATGAACACATAGTTATCAAATTATAAATACATAGTTATCAAATTATGAATTTACAATACACAAATTATGAATCTACATTATAAATTTTATGAATCTACAGTATAAAAATTATGAATCTACGGTATAGAAATTATGAATCTGCAGTACAGAAATTATGAATGTGCATTATAGAAATTATGAATCTACAGTACAGAAATTATGAATGTGCAGTATAGAAATTATGAATCTACATTATAAATTTTGTGAATCTACAGTATAGAAATTATAAATCTACAATATAGAAATTATGAATGTACAGTTTGTCCACCATGCACATAGTGAACACGGGTCCAGGGCATAACGCTCCTGATAATACTAATATCCACGTGGTGCGGTCAAAGTACTAAATGAGAACAAGTAATAATAGAAAAGGGGATTTTATTGATCAAAAGGAAACCTAATACAATCTAAATGGCTATCCCTGAGGACCGATTGACTGCGGTCGGGCTGCTCTGTAAATAGCCTGTTGATCGTCCCAAAGTCCTCCTCACTGTAGCCGTCGTGGGTACTTATAGCCTTTGGCCGGAGACAAACTTCCGGCCTACCGGCATGTAACCCACGTAGCGTCCACGCGTCTTCACCCGGCGAGCCTTCTCTGTCGACGTATAACATTGCCACGTGCCTCTCTTCAACATTTCTGTCTCTTCATAAAGTAAAGGCACGATAACCGGGTAACAACACCGGTCGGGAAGTCCATCGACCGGGTCCGACCGCCTTGCGTGAACAACACCCGACCTAAAGATCCTGCATAAATTACAAGAAGAACCAAACTCATGTCGATCGGGATATATCCTACAAGCTCTTTAAGAAATTGCTCCTTAATTAAGATGAGAGATTCTAATTAAAAATTTTGTGGTCAAATGATATAAATGTGTCTTTCTAAATGGACAAAAAATATTGTTTTCAAATCTATGAAAATGGTTGAGACCTTCATCTCCATTGACCCAGAGACAAAGGTCAACGTTGATTTGACTATTCATTTCTATTAACCTTCATTTCCATGGATATAGAGATGAAAGCTAAGTCATCTACGTTGATTTGACTATTCCTTTCAACATAGAGATGAAAGTCTCAACTTGACACCAATTGTCTACGCGGTAGACAAAGGATCAGGCAGATCTCACTGTCTCAATTTAAGATAGTTCTCATCTAAGATGAGCTTTTTTCAGCGATCTAATTGTATATACTAAAAATATATTTTTAGTCTTTTAATTATTCTTTACTAACTGTTTTAGTTCCTAACTTTATACTAGTGCAATATACATTTCTAACTTTTAAAAAATGTTACACTTTTAATTCCTAGAGCAACAAAATCATTAAACTCTATTAAAATTTTATCTAGTACTTGAACCTTTTAGTACTTTTAATGTTTATTCTTTAATTATAATATTCTATAGTCCATATATTTCATCACTACTGGAAATTAGTGAATTTCCGATTACCTGAAAGTGATCTTAAATCAAATTGAAAGCAAAAAGTGATCGGAAATAGCAACAAAGGTTTTTCCGGATACCAAAAGTGGTCGGAACAAGGCTTTCAACTTGATTTAAGATCACTTTCAGGTGGTCGAAAATTCCATAATTTCCAGTAGTGCATTTGTAAAATAAAAAAAAAAACTTGATTTTTAACATGTTTGTGCATGAAAAATATAGACGATGCTGTCGATGCACCACAATTGAAAATGAAAAATTCAGGGAAAATGTTGTTAAAGGTAATAAACTTTTAAAATACCTATGTATTAAGTAAAATTTTATTACTAAAAAAGAGAAATTTTAATATAATTTAATATTTTGTTCTTACAAAGGTTAAAACTTCAATTTTTAAACGGTTAGAGGTACATTGCAATGAAAAATAGTTAGGGACTAAAATAGATAGTAAACAAAGAAACAATTGAGGAATTAAAAATACATTTTTTCTCTTGTATTTATGTATTTAATTAAGCAGTTTATTTGACTTTTGTTTTTTAAATTTTAAATACCAAATGTAGACTAAATGTCATAAATTTTTAATTTGAATATTCATTCTTTTAAAAAGGTTGAACCCAACCCTAATTTTTAAGGTAGACCTTTGCTTACTGCGCACAAGGAGCCTCTCTCACTTTGAGAGGTTGCTCCACACTGCCGCTGGTGAGACTCGATCTCTGGTCATTCTTTCCAACTTTTACATTTATGACCAGTTGAGCTACCCATGCGAGATTAATTTGAATTTTGTTGTTTCAACTAAATCCGCACTTACTCTAAAACACTATGTTACCGGAGAAATTTTCAAAATGTTAATTCCCATGCAAGTATGCAACATCGATCTAGCTCGATAAATATAGTCAAGTCTAACAGGCGTTCAAAACTTAAAAAATTGTCAAACTATATAAATTCGTTGAAAATAAGCGAATTATTCAAAAAAAAAAAAATCATAGAATTTAAACAAGAGAAGACTATGACTAGTAAAGTTTAAATTGATTATATGATCAGTTTATGTTGATTGCAGGCAGGCACGCAAGAGGCGAAGAAAGTTTATACATACGCCATGGAATTCCGCAGGAAGGTTGGGTTTCTCACCCTCTGCCACCATCTTTTTCTCACAATTTCTTTTTTCTGCCTCCAATTTGGTGTTTCTACAGATACAATTACTGCACACCATTCTTTGGAAGGATCAGAAACTATACTCTCCAATTCCCAAAATTTCAAAATGGAATTTTTCTGCCCGGAAAATTCGACCAAGTATTACGTTGGCATCATGTTTAACGTCCCGTCCATGGCCGTTGTATGGGTAGCCAACAGAGACAAAGGTATGGATGATTCCAGGGGAAGCATGGGAATCTCAGAAGATGGGAATCTTGTGGTGTTGGATGGAGAGAAGAGAGTAGTATGGTCGTCGTCTACTTCTAAATCTAATATTTCCACTTCTTCTTCTCCTGCAAATACTACTGCTCAGCTCCTGGATACTGGAAACTTGGTGTTGAAAGATAGCTCAAGTGGAAGATATTTATGGGAAAGTTTTGGTGATATCACTAATACTTTTCTGGAGAACATGAAACTTGGCAATGGTGCGAGTATTGGTATAACGAGGGAGTTGAGATCGTGGAAAAGTCCTTGGGATCCATCCCTGGGGACTTTTTCTGTTTGTCTTCGACATCAAAAGATTCCAGAGGTGATTGTGGTACAAAATAGCAGTAAGATTTACTGGAGAAGCGGTCTATGGAATAAGCAGATATTCATTGGAGTGCGGAACATGAATTCTGGGTATGACTATGGAAGTCAAATCATTAAGGATGATGAAGGGCACATCACCTACAACAGCTTTAAGAACATGAAGGAGTCCACTAAATTGCACTATTTCCTCAACTCTGCTGGGTGTTTGGTGGAGAAGTATTGGGATGAAGAGAAGAGCCAATGGGTGTTGAAATCGGACCAATGGGTGGTGAAATCGGAAATTGGTACAAGTGGGCAGCAATGTGATCTGTATGACAAGTGTGGGCCATTTGGAATTTATGATCCCTATGCTTTAAAAAGTTGTAGTTGCTTGAAGGGTTATAGACCCAAAGATGAAATGGAATGGGGCAATGGAAATTGGAGCAGTGGGTGCATCAGAAAAGCTGCACTTCAGTGTCACAGAAACAGCTCGAATGAGGAAAACAACAAGAAAGATGGGTTCTTGAAGTTGCAGAGGGTGAAAGTGCCAGATTTACCTCATTTGGTGCCTTCTCTTGATGACACTTGTGAAACTGACTGTTTGATAGATTGTGCCTGCATAGCTTATTCATACTACACCGGGATTGGTTGTATGCACTGGTTTGAGGATTTAATTGATATCCAGCAGTTTTCGACAGGAGGAGCAGATTTATACATCCGTCTATCATATTCTGAATTTGGTACAAATTAAAGTCTTGTTTCAATTCTCTATACTAATATCTGTCTGTTTCTATGTTCATCTTATTGTACTCCAATATTCTGATGCATGGGTTAACTGTCTTTGATTTGCAGATCAAGACAAAAACAACAAAGTCATCATTATTGTAATTACATTAACCATAGGCTCACTAGCAATTGCTTCTTGCCTGTACTTTGGTTTGCTTAAGCACAGAGGCAAAAAATCTTCAAAAATCATGCCTAGAGAAGACACCAGCCAAGTTAAGCTACTTGATGAGCTACCAAAATTTGACTTTGATATCATAGCTAAAGCAACCGAGCATTTTCATTCTGGCAACAAGCTCGGGGAGGGTGGTTTTGGTCCGGTCTACAAGGTATATGTAGTTTTCTTTAATTTTCACTTGTGACTATAGTGGAAAGTTGTATGTACAAATCAAATTAGCTGTGACATGTTTTATGTAGGGAGTATTGGAGGATGGACAAGAAATCGCAGTAAAAAGGCTTTCAGAGTCTTCTGCTCAAGGCCAAAAAGAGTTTATGAACGAGGTTGTCGTGATTTCCAAACTCCAGCACAGAAATCTGGTTAGGCTTCTTGGATGCTGTATAGAAAGAGGGGAGAAAATGCTGGTTTATGAGTTCATGCCAAATGGAAGCTTGGATGCTCTTGTCTTTGGTTGGTTAATAAACTAATACGTAGTATATAGTAATGTAATATATATATATATATATATATATATATATATATATATATATATATATATATATATATATATATATATATATATATATATATTTGCTAGTTTTCATTATGGTGATTGTATCTAACAGATCCCAACAAGGAAGTGGTTCTTGATTGGACGAAGCGCTTCATGATTATTGAAGGAATTGGTCGAGGCCTCCTTTATCTTCATAGAGATTCAAGATTGAGAATCATTCATCGAGATCTCAAGGCAAGTAATATCCTATTAGATGAGCAGTTGAATCCCAAAATATCTGATTTTGGTTTGGCAAGGATATTTGGAAGCAACGAGAATCAAGCCAAAACTCAAAGGGTTATAGGCACATAGTAAGCATATATTTGTTGTTCTGAATTCTGTACTTTCCTTTGCCTAATTAACCATAGAGGGTGAGTGCTCAAATGATTTGCTAAATTATTTAATGCAGCGGTTACATGGCACCAGAATATGCAATGAACGGAAAATTTTCAGAAAAGTCAGATGTGTTTAGCTTTGGAGTTTTGTTGCTAGAAATTGTCAGTGGGAGGAAGAACTCTGGATTTTACCATGATGGCTACGCAATAAGCCTTGCAGCACATGTAAGTTCTACGTGATCCTCAAAGAAAATTCCATTGATTATCAAAACACTACCCAAACTCATGACCACAATTTCTTGATTCTCAGGCATGGAAACTGTGGAATTTAGAGAAGACGGAAGAAATGGCAGAACCTGAAGTGTATGACATGAGCTTCAAAATGAGTATTAGACGATGCGTCCATGTCGGCCTATTGTGTGTTCAAGAATATGCAGATGACAGACCAAATGTTTCAACTGTTTTGTCAATGCTTAGCAGTGAAATTGCAGAGCTTCCCCATCCTAAACAGCCTGCATTTACGGGAAGGCAGAGCTTTCCAGATAATAAGCCTTCTAAGCAAAGCAGAAGTTCTGTGTATAGTGTTACAATTTCTAATGTTGAAGGAAGATAAATTTATTCATATGTACATATTGAAAGCCCATTCCAGTCCTCATTTTTGTAATCTAACATGACCAACTAATCCAACAATCTTCTTGTCAAGGGCATCCAATATTTTTAAATTACAGTGGAGGGAGGAAACCTCAAATAGTGATGACTATATTAAGATCAACGCGTGTGGGTAGATCGCACCAATAGATTCCGTCAGAATTTGCGTTTCATAATATTATGGTAATTGTGATTAAAAAAAATTAAAAAATATATAGTTGTTAGTTGTTACTATGACATTGATATGATATTATATTTATTGTACAAATTTGAAAAGTTTATAATGGCATTTATTGACCAATGATCTCAATAGGGAATAAAAAGTCTTGTTTCCATTCTTGAAGAAAAGTCTTGTTTCCATAACACTATGAAAAGTGGTTAAGGCCTTCATCTCCATAGATCTAGAGACAAAGGTCAACCATCATCTCCATGAATCTAGATACGAAAGTCTTCCCCATGGGTTTGACTATTCGTCTCTAGATGGAGGTCTCAACTTGACACAATTTGTTTGTTATGTGTATTCTAATTTTCTATTTTCAACTTTTACTCTCATACACAAAATCTTGATGTAGACACTTGTATTGAGATCCACATACAAAAATAGCTTATCAAAACCCATCATATCAGGGAGTAAAATTGATGAAGTAATATTTGAGAGTATATGTAATAAAACTCTTTGTCTATATTGGAGACGAAGCATCAAGACTCATCTCCATGCTTAGTCCAACACACTACGATTACTAACGAATTTTCAAAACGTGGTGAACTTTTTTGCTCTCCAAAAGGTGTTTCTCATCTTCATAGCTTCTCATTGGCTCTACATGCATCCAAAATGTCCCAAAAATTACTCAATTCATCTAAATCATCAAAAATTATCCATAAACACACAAATGAATCAAATGAGGGACACTTTGGATAAAATTATAACAAATAACAAGGAAAATAAGTTTAAATGTAAGGTGAAAACATTAACATTTTGGCACTTATCAAATATACACTTCTAACTTTTCAAAAAAATTGTACTTTTAATCCCTAGAGACTGAAGCAACAAAACTTTATTAATATTTTACTTAGTACTTGAATTTTTAGTATTTTTAATATTTATTCTTTAATTATAATATTCTATATTCTTTATATTTCATATGTAAAAAAAAAAAAAGTTGATTTCTAACAAGTTTGTACATGAAAATTAGGGACAATGCACCATAATTGAAAATGAAAAATTTAGGTAGGAATGTTGTTTAAGGTAATAAACTTTTAAAATACCTATGTACTAAGTTAAATCTTAGTACTAAAAAAAAAAAAAAAATTTAATATAGTTTAATATTTTGCTCCTCCAGAGGTTAAAACTGTAATGTTTTTAAGAGTTTGGGGTACATCGCAATGAAAAATAATTAGCTATAGGGTCAAAAATAGATATCAAAGAAACAATTGAGGAATTAAAAATATATTTTTTTCACTTGTATTTATGTATTTAATTTAATAGTTTATTTGATTTTTTTATTTTTATACCAAATATAGACCCATTTTTTTTTAAAAAAAAAAAACTATTTTTGTTAAAATGTCATAAATTATTAATTTGAATTTTCATGTTTCAACGAAATCCACCACTTAGTCTAAAACACTATGTTACCGGAGAAATTTTCAAAATGTTAATTCCCATGCAAGTATGCAACATCGATCTAGCTCGATAAGTATAGTCAAGTCTAACAGGCGTTCAAAAATCAAAACTTAAAAAATTGTCAAACTATATAAATTCGTTGAAAATAAGCGAATTATTCCAAAAAAAAAAATAAAAAATCATAGAATTTAAGCAAGAGAAGACTATGAATAGTAAAGTTTAAATTCTTCCAAAGAACCTCAACCCTAAATTGATTATATGATCAGTTTATGTTGATTGCAGGCACGCAAGAGGCGAAGAAAGTTTATACATACGCCATGGAATTCCGCAGGAAGGTTGGGTTTCTCACCCTCTGCCACCATCTTTTTCTCACAATTTCTTTTTTCTGTCTCCAATTTGGTGTTTCTAGAGATACAATTACTGCACACCATTCTTTGGAAGAATCAGAAACTATACTCTCCAATTCCCAAAATTTCAAGATGGGATTTTTCCGCCCGGAAAATTCTACCAAGTATTACGTTGGCATCATGTTTAACGTCCCGTCCATGGCCGTTGTATGGGTAGCCAACAGAGACAAAGGTATGGATGATTCCAGGGGAAGCATGGGAATCTCAGCAGACGGGAATCTTGTGGTGTTGGATGGAGAGAAGAGAGTAGTATGGTCGTCGTCTACTTCTAAATCTAATATTTCAACTTCTTCTCCTGCAACTGCAAATACTACTGCTCAGCTCCTGGATACTGGAAACTTGGTGTTGAAAGATAGCTCAAGTGGAAGCTTTTTATGGGAAAGCTTTGGTGAAATCTCCGATACTATTGTTGAGGGAATGAAACTTGGCAATGGTTCGAGTATTGGCATAACAAGGGAGTTGAGATCGTGGAAAAGTCCATGGGATCCATCCCTGGGGATTTTTTCTTATTGTCTTCGTCTTCAACATCAAGACATTCCAGAGGTGATTGTGGTACAAAATAACAGTAAGATTTACTGGAGAACCGGTCTATGGAATAAGCAGATATTCATTGGAGTGGTGAACATGAATTCTGGGTATGACTATGGAACTCAAATCATTAAGGATGATGAAGGGGACATCACCTACGACACCTTTAAGAGCATGAAGGAGTCCACTAAATTGCACTATGTCCTCAACTCTGCTGGGTGTCTGGTGGAGAAGCATTGGGATGAAGAGAAGAGCCAATGGGTGTTGAAATCGGAACAATGGGTGGTGAAATCGGAAATTGGTACAAGTGGGCAGCAATGTGATCTGTATGACAAGTGTGGGCCATTTGGAATTTATGATCCCTATGCTTCAAAAAGTTGTAGTTGTTTGAAGGGCTATAGACCCAAAGATGAAATGGAATGGGGCAATGGAAATTGGAGCAGTGGGTGCATCAGAAAAGCTGCACTTCAGTGTCACAGAAACAGCTCGAATGAGGAAAACAACAAGAAAGATGGGTTCTTGAAGTTGCAGAGGGTGAAAGTGCCAGATTTACCTCATTTGGTGCCTTCTCTTGATGAGACTTGTGAAACTGACTGTTTGAGAGATTGTGCCTGCATAGCTTATTCGTACTACACTGGGATTGGTTGTATGCACTGGTCCCAGGATTTAATTGATATCCAGCAGTTTTTGACAGGAGGAGCAGATTTATACATCCGTCTATCATATGCAGAATTAGGTACAAATTAAAGTCTTGTTTCAATTCTCTATACTAATATCTGTCTGTTTCTGTGTTCATCTTATCTATTATTCTGACATGGGGTAACTGTCTTTGATTTGCAGACCAAAAGAGAAACAAAAAAGTCATCATTATTGTAATTACATTGACTATAGGCTCACTAGCAATTGCTTCTTGCCTGTACTTTGGTTTGCTTAAGCACAGAGGCAAAAAATCTTCAAAAATCATGCCTAGAGAAGACGCCAGCCAAGTTAAGCTACTTGATGAGTTACCAGTATTTGACTTTGAGATCATAGCAAAAGCAACCGAGCATTTTCATTCTGGCAACAAGCTCGGGGAGGGTGGTTTTGGTTCAGTCTACAAGGTATATGTGGCTTTCGTTTCCCTTGTGACTATAGTGGAAGGTTGTATGTACAAATGAAATTAGTTGTGGCATGTTTTATGTAGGGAGTATTGGAGGATGGACAAGAAATCGCAGTGAAAAGACTTTCAGAGTCTTCTGCTCAAGGCCAAAAAGAGTTTATGAACGAGGTTGTCGTGATTTCCAAACTCCAGCACAGAAATCTGGTTAGGCTGCTTGGGTGCTGTATAGAAAGAGGGGAGAAAATGCTGGTTTATGAGTTCATGCCAAATGGAAGCTTGGATGCTATTATCTTTGGTTGGTTAATAAACTAATATATAGTTATGTAATATACTTTTTTTTTTTTTTGCTAGTTTTCATTCTAGTGATGGTATACGACAGATCCCAACAAGGAAGTGGTTCTTGAGTGGACGAAGCGCTTAATGATTATTGAAGGAATTGGCCGAGGCCTCCTTTATCTTCACAGAGATTCAAGATTGCGAATCATTCATCGAGATCTTAAGGCAAGTAACATTCTATTAGATGAGCAACTGAATCCAAAAATATCTGATTTTGGTTTGGCAAGAATATTTGGAAGCAACGAGAATCAAGCCAAAACTCAAAGGGTTATAGGCACATAGTAAGCATATATTTGTTGTTCTGAATTCTGTACTTTCCTTTGCTTAATTAACCATAGAAGGTGAGAGCTCAAATGATTTGTTAAATTATTTAATGCAGCGGTTACATGGCACCAGAATATGCAATGAACGGAAAATTTTCAGAAAAATCAGACGTGTTTAGTTTTGGAGTTTTGTTGCTAGAAATTGTGAGTGGGAGAAAGAACTCTACATTTTACCATGATGACTTTGCAATAAGTCTTGCAGCACATGTAAGTTCTCCCTGATCCTCAAAGAAAATTCCATTGATTATCAAAACACTATCCAAACTCATCACCACAATTTCTTGATTCTCAGGCATGGAAACTGTGGAATTTAGAGAAGATGGAAGAAATGGCAGAACCTGAAGTGTATGACATGAGCTTCAAAATGAGTATAAGACGATGCGTCCATATCGGCCTATTGTGTGTTCAAGAATATGCAGATGACAGACCAAATGTTTCAACTGTTTTGTCAATGCTTAGTAGTGAAATTGTAGAGCTTCCTCATCCCAAACAGCCTGCCTTTACTGGAAGGCAGAGATTTCCAGATAATAAGCCATCTAAACAAAGCAAAAGTTATGTGTATAGTATTACAATATCTGATGTTGAAGCAAGATAAATTTTTTTTTTCATATATGTACATATTGAAAGCACATTCCAGTCCTCATTTTTATAATCTAATATGACCAACTAATCCCTACAAATTGGAAGAAGGCCTCCATCTATTAACCTTACTCCTACAATGCGCGGAAGCCGTCACCGTCGACAACTTAGACGAAGCAAACAGAATGCTCCTCCAAGTCTCGAAGCTCTCAACCCCATACGGAACCTCCCCACAACAAGCCGCCGCGTACTTCTCGGAAGCCATGTCCGCCTGCCTTGTAAACTCATACTTAGGAATCTACACGTCGGCGTTGCTCAACGCCTCCCTCACAGCCTAAACCAGAAAATGGCCTCTGCCTTCCAGGTCTTCAACGTCACCGGCTCCTCTTCGCAGCAGTAGGATCAAGGATTTGGGGGTTAACAAATTTAATCCCATATGAAAGCTAGGGCTGAAATGAATTAGGGGTAAATGGCTGGGAGGAGAATGGAGTTACTAAGGACATTGTGAAATTATCAAACTGTCTATGGTATTAACCCTGGTTTGAGAAAAATTTGACCGAAAGGTCAAATTGACTACGGTTTAAATATTTAAGGTACTAATTTTACAAAATTAACAATGGAAAACTATATTGCATATCTAAGAACAATTGAAGGATCAAAAGTGTGATTTTCTCAAATTAAAAGTACACATTATCATATTCCAGTAACATCTCTTTGACTCTTTTGTGATGGGAAATGCATAGGTCATTAGTCTTTTGTTGAGCCACCGAAATTACTACTTTATTAATGCAACACCGATTTATTCGCCGTTATACAATTATATGACAATTAGTATCAACTTTTTTCTTTATTTTATTTTATTGAAACCAAAGGGAAATCATTCATTAAGATCAAAGCCGGGGCTGTATTTTAAGTTTTTGTGGCCCTGTTCTGATAAATAAATATGGTCCTACCAAAATAACAATTTTTAAAATCAATATATGCAAGTTTCGAACCTTTGACCTCCAAGTTAAAATACAATAAATACACATTCTTACCATCTCTTCATGAAACCATTTAAATTCAATTAAAAACTTTTAATTTTTTTTTCTAAACTAACTAGGTAAAAATTAAATATTGAACCTCTAAAATTTGGGGCCCCTCTAAAATTGGGGGCCCTGTGCGGTAGCCCAGCTTGCACAACCTAAAATTCGGCCCTAATCAAAGCAAAGAACATTACAAATGATGGAAGGAGGTTCACTGAATCACTATGTACATGTCAATATGTACATTAAAAGGAATGCATTAGTTAATATTTTTGTTTCTTCTGAGGTTAAAATTGTAATTTTTTAAAGAGCTAAGGGTACATTGCAATGAAAAACATTTAGATACTAAAATAGATACTAAAAAAAACAATTGAGGAACTAAACATGTATTTTTCTCTTGTATTTATGTATATAATTTAGTAGTTTATTTGACTTTTTTATTTTTATATACCAAATATAGACTATTTTTGTTAAAATGTCAAAATTTTTTAATTGGGAAAATGGTCAAATAAACTCCTAAATTTTACCTGAAAAATCAATTAACCCCCTGAACTTTTAAAAAGTGCAATCACATAATTTAACATGGTATATTGAGGTAATAAAATAATAGGTCATTGACTGATTTTAGACTTCATTACATAAATATAACATGTTAAAGGGTGTAATTGTACTTTTTAAAAGTTTAGGGGGCTTATTGACTTTTTAAATACAATTAAAGGGCTTATTTAACCATTTCTCTTTTGAATTTTAATTACTCCGTATCATGTTTCAACAAAATCCCTGCTTAGTCTAAAACAACAAATTATATCGTGCACCAGGGTGCACAATACATTGTACGCTCTAAGAGTTTATGTGTATTATGTTAAGAATTTATGTGTATTATGTATTATATTAAAATTATATTTATTATATTAGAAATTTATGTGTATTCTATTATATAATTATGTACATACGATATAACAATTGGTCTAAAACACTATGTTACCGGAGAAATTTCAAAATGCTAATTCCCATGCAACATCGATCTAGCTCGATAAATATAGTCAATTCTAACAGGCGTTCAAAAGTTAAAGACAGTCAAACTATATATAAATTCGCTCAGTAAGCGAATTATTCAATAAAATCATACTCCGTATAATTTAAGCAAGAGAAGAATATGACTAGTAAAGTTTAAATTGATTATGCATGGCCATGTTTGGTAAAATGGCTGTTAGCTGATAGCTGTTAATTGTTAGCTGATTGTATTAATTAGAGGGTATAAATAGTTGATAACATTAGCTGATTGTAGAAAAGTGTTTGGTAAATTAGCTTTTAACTGTTAGCTGTTTGGTATAATTTTTTTTTTTGAAAAAGCTAATTTAAAAAGTTGTTTGAGGTAACTTTTTCAATTTTAGCCTTTTGGAATTGCAAAAAGCTAATTAACCAAACATTTATATTGTGATTTTAACTAAATCAAACAATTAATAGTGGTCAAATAAGTCAAAATTGATCTATAGGCCAATTTTTTACCAAACAAGACCTATATGATCAGTTTATAGTTTATGTTGATTGAAGGCACGCAACAGGCGAAGAAAGTTTATACGCCATGGAAATCCGCAGGAAGGTTGGGTTTCTAACCCTCTGCCACCATCTTTTTCTCACAATTTCTTTTTTCTTCGTCCAATTTGGTGTTTCTACACATACAATTACTCCACACCATTCTTTGGAAGGATCAGAAACTTTACTCTCCAATTCCCAAAATTTCCGCCCGGAAAATTCGACCAAGTATTACGTTGGCGTCATGTTTAACGTCCCGTCAATGACCGTTGTATGGGTAGCCAACAGAGACAGAGGTATGGATGATTCCAGGGGAAGCATGGGAATCTCAGAAGATGGGAATCTTGTGGTGTTGGATGGAGGGAAGAGAGTAGTATGGTCTTCTAGTATTTCTTCTTCTCCTGCAAACACTACTGCTCAGCTCCTGGATACTGGAAACTTGGTGTTGAAAGATAGCTCAAGTGGGGGATATTTATGGGAAAGCTTTGGTGAAATCTCCAATACTGTTGTCGAGGGAATGAAACTTGGCAATGGTTCGAGTATTGGCATAACAAGGGAGTTATTGTTGGAAAAATAACATTAAAATGGCATAAAATGACATGTTAAGTGGCTACTTTGTGGTACAATTATTAGTGGGCTTACTTTCGATTTGGGTCGGATCAAAGTGGATTCGGATTCTTCGTAGTGAGACGAAGAGATTGATATATTGTACGCTCAAAACGGATAATGGGTGAATGAGATATTGATTCTCAAAGTAGACCCATTGAGTTGAAAAAATGAAGGGAAAAAGTGAACTTTTGTCTCACATTGGTTTGGGATGGGGTATTTATACAAGAGTGTCTTTTAGAGGCTTATTGAATGTATAGCATCAGGGACAGAGCCAGAAATTTGGTTGAGGGGGCGAAATAGTACAGACGGATGAATTGTAAAACTATGTTGATATTAAGATTTATACTGTTAACCTCATTATTGCCAAATATGTGCTCTACCACCTAATCTAACTCACTCTTGTTAACACTTTATAGTTTTTTTTTTATACTAATACTAAAACTTGTACTATATATACATATATACATACAAAGACTATATATGGGGTGGGAGTGGGGTGAGGGGGTGCAGCTGCCCCCCTTTGGCTCCGTCCCTGCATAGCATAGAGGCTCTCTCTCGCACGGAGGGGAGGGGTTGCAAATCAAATCCTGAATTGAGATAAAAAAAAGCATGAACCAACCCTAAACTCGTGTGCGCCCGCACCTGCGGGCACGAAATTGGCTGGCCTTGCGGTAATTTTTTCCAACATTGAAGGTGGCTGCCTGTTACAGAATTAATCTTGTATTAATTCCAGTTTTGAATTTTTGAATTAAATCTCAAATAATGGTGGCTGTTTCAGGTGTTACAAATCGTGCATTAAATGTCAAAATTGAATGCTATTGATTCTTCACCTCTTATATAAGAAGGGAGTGGGACAACATATATTTCACACAGTGAAGTAGTCAAGAACTACGAACAAAGAGACACAACACACACATAGTTTTACTCTTTCAAAACTCTGCTCCTACTCCAATCTTGAAGCTGTGTTCTGCCCGTGCTCTTGTTTGCCGGGTTCGTTCGTTTGGGTGCTCAAACGTCGAACCGTTGTACGTTTTATCCTGTGAAATCTAGGCCACAGGCGCTCCTAGCACTCTTGTGATGTGGCAAATAAGGTTTTAAGGAAAAAATGTACTTTGCCTAACTCGTACTTACTTCTTTCTTTCCTTCTCCTTCTCTTTTGTTTTGGATTATGCTCTAAGCAAAAATCCTTTCTACTTTCTTGTTGATTGAAATTGTAATCTGGAGGATTACAAATTCTATTTCGGTTGATATAGATATATGTATATCTTTTCGCGCGTGTATATATATATATATATATATATATATATATATATATATATATATATATATATATATATATATATATATATATATATATATATATATATATATATATATAACTGTGTGGTCTGATTTATATATATTTGTGTGTATATATATTTCGGATATATATCATAATATTTTATATATTTTCGTGTGTATATATATAAATATTATTATGGGATATTAAATCAATTTTGGTTCATTATCACCAACATGTCAGTATATAGAAATTTAGAAATTATAAATCTACTGTATTTAAATTATGAAACTACAGTATACAAATTATGAATCTACAGTATTAGGTTTGTGAACATGTGATAGAGCTATATGTTCATAATTTTATAAATATATGTTCATTATTATAGAGCTATATATTCATAATTTTTTATGTTCATATTCTCAATTGTTGAACTATGTATTCACAAATCACAAAACTATATGTTCATAATTTGATAATTATACAGTTTAGAAATTATAAATCTGCAGTATAGAAATTATTAATCTACTGTAGGGTGGTCGAAAATTCCATAATTTCCAATAGGGTGTATAGAAATTATGAATTTATTGTATTTAAATTATGAATCTACGATGTAAAAATTATGATCTACAATATAAATTTTATGAATTTACAATATAAAAATTATGAATATAAAATTGTGCCCACTTTGTACGCTCCTCCCCTTCCATAGTGTTGTGTGATTCTTTAGTATTTTAATTTGAGTATATTCATCTTTAAAATTTTAAATATATATAATTTTAAATTTTCAATGGCTCAATTGACCCACTCCTCACCACATAGCTCACCTTTGACCATCTCCCACATCGCATAGAGAAAAATAGTTGAAATATTCTCATATTAAAATATTAAAAATTAGTAATTGTGATAAAAAAAATATTAAAATTATAATTACATGAAATCTCATTTCTATGTGAAAGGAAAAAGAGATATAGAATATGAATTGCATATAAAAATACAATTAAATTACTATGCCATTGATATGATATTATTTTTATTGTACAAATTTGAAAAGTATATATAATGGCATTTGGTGACCAATGATCTCGATAGGGGACAAAAAGTCTTGTTTCCAACACTATGAAAATCGTTAAGCCTTCAACCCCATGAATCCTAGATACTAAAGTCATCCCATGGGGAGGCAATAATCAATCATTAGTTGTGTGGATCATATTTTTGTATACTATAAAATAATGTACATTTAGTTCAAAAATAATGTACTTTTAATATATTAAAAATGTATTTTGAATTTAAAAAAATATAATATTTAAATATTAAATATATATTATTTTATATAATGTACATTCAGTACAAAAATAATGTATTTTTAGTATATTAAAAATATATTTTTATTTATGATCTATACAACATTATGTGGACCATAGTCCACACAATAATTTGCCATGAGGAGGTCTCAACTTGACACAATTTGTCTACATTGGAGACGAAGCATCAAGACTCGTCGCATGCTTAGTCTAACACACAACCATTACCAACAAATTTCCATATCAAAATTTTTTTTTCTCATAATAAAGGATGAATCTCCAATTTCAAAGATCCACACTTCAGACCGACAGAATATGTAAGAGATTGTAAATCACAATAACTTATTTGCTCATCAAACAGAGACAAATACTTAAGCCTACAAGAAATCCATTTACATTGAGCATAATGAAGTTTCAAACTTTGGTCTCTTCTTTATAATACTATTTATAGAACTAGAAAAGTCTAACACGCGTTAAAACATTAAAAATAGTCAAAATATAAAATTCGTTGTCAGTAGGCGAATTATTCAAAAAATATCATGGAATTTAAGCAAGAGAAGACTATGATTCATTATGTGATCTGCTGCTATATAGTTTATGTTGATTGAAGGCAAGGAAGAGGCAAAGAAAGTTTATACATACGCCATGGAATTCCGCAGGAAGGTTGGGTTTCTCACCCTCTGCCACCATCTTTTTCTCACAATTTCTTTTTTCTGCCTCCAATTTGGTGTTTCTACAGATACAATTACTGCACACCATTCTTTGGAAGGATCAGAAACTATACTCTCCAATTCCCAAAATTTCAAAATGGAATTTTTCCGCCCGGAAAATTCGACCAAGTATTACGTTGGCATCATGTTTAACGTCCCTTCAATGGCCGTTGTATGGGTAGCCAACAGAGACAAAGGTATGGATGATTCCAGGGGAAGCATGGGAATCTCAGAAGATGGGAATCTTTTGGTGTTGGATGGAGAGAAGAGAGTCGTATGGTCGTCTACTTCTAAATCTAATATTTCCACTTCTTCTTCTCCTGCAAATACTACTGCTCAGCTCCTGGATACAGGAAACTTGGTGTTGAAAGATAACTCAAGTGGGAGATATTTATGGGAAAGCTTTGGTGAAATCTCCAATACTGCTGTCGAGGGAATGAAACTTGGCAATGGTTCGAGTATTGGCATAACGAGGGAGTTGAGATCGTGGAAAAGTCCATGGGATCCATCCCCGGGGACTTTTTCTCTTCGTCTTCGACATCAAAACATTCCAGAGGTGATTGTGCTACAAAATAACAGTAAGATTTACTGGAGAACCGGTCTATGGAATAAGCAGATATTCATTGGATCGCAGAACATGAATTCTGGGTATGACTATGGAAGTCAAATCATTAAGGATGTCGAAGGGAATATCACCTACGACACCTTTAAGAACATGAAGGAGTCCACTAAATTGCACTATGTCCTCAACTCTGATGGGTGTTATGTGGAGAAGCATTGGGATGAAGAGAAGAGCCAATGGGTGTTGAAATCGGACCAATGGGTGGTGAAATCGGAAATTGGTATAAGTGGGCAGCAATGTGATCTGTATGACAAGTGTGGGCCATTTGGAATTTATGATCCCTATGCTTCAAAAAGTTGTAGTTGTTTGAAGGGTTATAGACCCAAAGATGAAATGGAATGGGGCAATGGAAATTGGAGCAGTGGGTGCATCATAAATGCTGCACTTCAGTGTCATAGAAACAGCTCGACTGAGGAAAACAACAAGAAAGATGGGTTCTTGAAGTTGCAGAGGGTGAAAGTGCCAGATTTACCTCATTGGGTGCCTTCTCTTGATGAGACTTGTGAAACTGACTGTTTGAGAGATTGTGCCTGCATAGCTTATTCGTACTACACCGGGATTGGTTGTATGCACTGGTTTGAGGATTTAATTGATATCCAGCAGTTTTCGACAGGAGGAGCAGATTTATACATCCGTCTACCATATTCAGAATTTGGTACAAATTAAAGTCTTGTTTCAATTCTCTATACTAATATCTGTCTGTTTCTGTGTTCATCTTATTGTACTCCAATATTCTGATGCATGGGATAACTGTCTTTGATTTGCAGATCAAAACAGAAACAACAAAGTCATCATTATTGTAATTACATTGACTATAGGCTCACTAGCAATTGCTTCTTGCCTGTACTTTGGTTTGCTTAAGCACAGAGGCAAAAAATCTTCAAAAATCATGCCTAGAGAAGACGCCAGCCAAGTTAAGCTACTTGATGAGCTACCAACATTTGACTTTGAGATCATAGCAAAAGCAACCGAGCATTTTCATTCTGGCAACAAGCTCGGGGAGGGTGGTTTTGGTTCGGTCTACAAGGTATATGTGGCTTTCTTTTTCCTTGTGACTATAGTGGAAGGTTGTATGTACAAATGAAATTAGTTGTGGCATGTTTTATGTAGGGAGTATTGGAGGATGGACAAGAAATCGCAGTGAAAAGACTTTCAGAGTCTTCTGCTCAAGGCCAAAAAGAGTTTATGAACGAGGTTGTCGTGATTTCCAAACTCCAGCACAGAAATCTGGTTAGGCTGCTTGGGTGCTGTATAGAAAGAGGGGAGAAAATGCTGGTTTATGAGTTCATGCCAAATGGAAGCTTGGATTCTCTTCTCTTTGGTTGGTTAATAAACTAATATATAGTTATTTAATATACTCTTTTTTGCTAGTTTTCATTCTGGTGATTGTATATGACAGACCCCAACAAGGAAGTGGTACTTGATTGGACGAAGCGCTTAATGATTATTGAAGGAATTGGCCGAGGCCTCCTTTATCTTCACAGAGATTCAAGATTGCGAATCGTTCATCGAGATCTCAAGGCAAGTAACATCCTATTAGATGAGCAACTGAATCCAAAAATATCTGATTTTGGTTTGGCAAGGATATTTGGAAGCAACGAGAATCAAGCCAAAACTCAAAGGGTTATAGGCACATAGTAAGCATATATTTGCTGTTTTGAATTCTGTACTTTCCTTTGCTTCATTAACCATAAAATGTGAGAGCTCAAATGATTTGTTAAATTATTTAATGCAGCGGTTACATGGCACCAGAATATGCAATGAACGGAAAATTTTCAGAAAAATCAGATGTGTTTAGTTTTGGAGTTTTGTTGTTAGAAATTGTTAGTGGGAGGAAGAACTCTACATTTTACCATGATGACTTTGCAATAAGTCTTGCAGCACATGTAAGTTCTCCCTGATCTTCAAAGAAAATTTCATTGATGATCAAAACACTATCCAAACTCATCACCACAATTTCTTGATTCTCAGGCATGGAAACTGTGGAATTTAGAGAAGATGGAAGAAATGGCAGAACCTGAAGTGTATGACATGAGCTTCAAAATGAGTATAAGACGATGCGTCCATATCGGCCTATTGTGTGTTCAAGAATATGCAGATGACAGACCAAATGTTTCAACTGTTTTGTCAATGCTTAGTAGTGAAATTGTAGAGCTTCCTCATCCCAAACAGCCTGCCTTTACTGGAAGGCAGAGATTTTCAGATAATAAGCCATCTAAACAAAGTAAAAGTTATGTGTATAGTATTACAATTTCTGATGTTGAAGGAAGATAATTTTCTTTTACATATATGTACATATTGAAAGCACATTCCAGTCTTTATAATCTAATCTGACCAACTAATCCAACAATCTCTTGTCAAGGGCATTCAATATTTTTAATAATTTAAAATATATTTAATTCAATATTAAATTTGATGACTAAAAAGTTAAATAAAAACTTAATTAATTGGTCTTTGTGTGAGTTTGTATTGTTTGAAACATGTACTGAAACCAAATTTGTCACCATTTAAGTACAGGAATTATATTTCTGATAAGTGACTTTTCAATTCACATGTCTCTTAATTTTAAAATTTTACTAGACGTTTGGTATACATACCGGATGGAACTATAGTGAAAAAAAATTACAATTTTATAGGAGAATAAAGTAAGAGTTTAAATTAATGAATCAATTGACCATTCCTCACGGCTTAACTATGCCCTTGACTGTGTGTCCGTATAACCGTATCTACTATTGTTATTGTCTAATCAATTGTTATATTTTGAATTATGGTACCATATTGTAAGGTTGATCACTAAGATACACGGTCATTTTTAATATATTGTCATTGGCACATGTTATCAATAATAAGGGGTGGGCATTTCGGACTTTGGTTTCGATTTTCTGTTTTAAAGAAATTAAACCATTCAGTTTACCATTAGAGTTCGGTTCGGTTTCGATTCGGATTTACTTCGGTTCGGTTTAAAATTCCCCAAATTTCAACATTTCTTAATTTTCCAACACATACTACCAAACAATACATATTCACATAATCACATAATCAATATAATATCCAAAATCTAAACATTATATAACAAAATAGCAATTCAAAGTTCAAACATACTACTAAGTACTAATTGTGAGGTAAAGAACAATTGCAGCAAACAACAAAAGTGCAAAGTAGAGAACAAGCTATAAAGAAATCAAATTACAAAATTTAAGAGAGATACCAATGAGAATAGGAACTGAACGACGGAATAGGCATCGAGGGACTTAGATTACTTCTTTTATTTATTTATTTATTTATTTATTTATTTATTATTATTATTATTATTATTATTATTATTATTATTATTATATATATTATTATTATTATTATTATTATTATTATTATTATATAATAATAATAATAATAATAATAATAATATTATTATTATTATTATTATTATTATTATTATTATTATTATTGTTGTTGTTGTTGTTATTATTATTATTATTATCAAACAATATTTGGTTTGGTCGCCTTCTCAGGTAGACAGCGACTAGAGACAGTTCGGCGGTTTTCGGCCACCGAATTATCGTCCGAGATGGATAAAATTGATGTCGGAACCCTAATGACTTGTAATAGCAGGTCATTGACTGATTTTTAGACTTCATTACATAAATATAACATATTAAAGGGTGTAATTATACTTTTTAAAAACTTAGGGGGTTAATTGACTTTTTAAGTAAAATTTAAGGACTTATTTAATTATTTTCCTTTTTAATTTTAATTATCATATTTCAAAGAAATCCCCCCATAGTCTAAAACACTATGTTACCGGAGAAATTTCAAATGCTAATTCTCATGCATCTTTGATCTAACTCGATAAATATAGTCAATTCTAACAGGCGTTCAAAAGTTAAAAGGAGTTAAACTATATATAAATTCGCTGTCAGTAAGCGAACTATTCAATAAAATCATACTCCGTATAATTTAAGCAAGAGAAGACTATGAATAGTAAAGTTTAAATTGATTATATGATCAGTTTATGTTGATTGAAGGCACGCAATAGGCGAAGATAGTTAATACGCCATGGAAATCCGCAGGAAGGTTGGGTTTCTAACCCTCTGCCACCATCTTTTTCTCACAATTTCTTTTTTCTTCCTCCAATTTGGTGTTTCTACAGATACAATTACTCCACACCATTCTTTGGAAGGATCAGAAACTATACTCTCCAATTCCCAAACTTTCAAGATGGGATTTTTCCGCCCGGAAAATTCGACAAAGTATTACGTTGGCGTCATGTTTAACGTCCCGCCAATGACCGTTGTATGGGTAGCCAACAGAGACAAAGGTATGGATGATTCCACCGGAAGCATGGGAATCTTAGAAGATGGGAATCTTGTGGTGTTTGATGGAGAGAAGAGAGTAGTATGGTCGTCGTCTACTTCTAAATCTAATATTTCCACTTCTTCTCCTGCAAATACTACTGCTCAGCTCTTGGATACTGGAAACTTGGTGTTGAAAGATAGCTCAAGTGGGAGACATTTATGGGAAAGCTTTGGTGAAATCTCCAATACTGTTGTCGAGGGAATGAAACTTGGCAATGGTTCAAGTATTGGCATAACAAGGGAGGTGAGATCGTGGAAAAGTCCATGGGATCCATCCCCGGGGACTTTTTCTCTTCGTCTTCGACATCAAAACATTCCAGAGTTGATTGTGGTACAAAATAACAGTAAGATTTACTGGAGAACCGGTCTATGGAATAAGCAGATATTCATTGGAGCGCAGGACATGACTTCTGGGTATGACTATGGAAGTCAAATCATTAAGGATGTCGAAGGGGACATCACCTACGACACCTTTAAGAACATGAAGGAGTCCACTAAATTGCACTATGTCCTCAACTCTGATGGGTGTTATGAGGAGAAGCATTGGGATGAAGAGAAGAGCCAATGGGTGGGGAGATCAGACCAATGGGTGGTGAAATCGGAAATTGGTATACGTGGGCAGCGATGTGATCTGTATGACAAGTGTGGGCCATTTGGAATTTATGATCCCTATGCTTCAAAAAGTTGTAGTTGTTTGAAGGGTTATAGACCCAAAGATGAAATGGAATGGGGCAATGGAAATTGGAGCAGTGGGTGCATCAGAAAAGCTGCACTTCAGTGTCACAGAAACAGCTCGAATGAGGAAAACAACAAGAAAGATGGGTTCTTGAAGTTGCAGAGGATGAAAGTGCCAGATTTTGCTCATTGGGTGCCTTCTCTTGATGACTCTTGTGAAACTGACTGTTTGAGAGATTGTTCCTGCATAGCTTATTCGTACTACACCGGGATTGGTTGTATGCACTGGTCCGAGGATTTAATTGATATCCAGCAGTTTTCGACAGGCGGAGCAGATTTATACATCCGTCTATCATATTCTGAATTTGGTACAAATTAAAGTCTTGTTTCAATTCTCTATACTAATATCTGTCTGTTTCTGTGTTCATCTTATCTATTATTCTGACATGGGGTAACTGTCTTTGATTTGCAGACCAAAAGAGAAACAAAAAAGTCATCATTATTGTAATTACATTGACTATAGGCTCACTAGCAATTGCTTCTTGCCTGTACTTTGGTTCAGTTAAGCACAGAGGCAAAAGATCTTCAATCATGCCTAGAGAAGATTCCAGCCAAGCTAAACTACTTGATGAGCTACCAGTATTTGACTTTGAGATCATAGCAAAAGCAACCAAGCATTTTCATTCTAGCAACAAGCTCGGGGAGGGTGGTTTTGGTCCAGTCTACAAGGTATGTATATATGGCTTTCATTCTTTTCACTTTTGACTATGGTGGAAGGTTGTATGTAGAAATGAATTAATTAGCTGTGACATGTTTTATGTAGGGAATATTGGAGGATGGACAAGAAATTGCTGTGAAAAGGCTTTCAGAGTCATCTGTTCAAGGCGAAAAGGAATTTATGAATGAGGTCGTAGTCATTTCTAAACTCCAGCACAGAAATTTAGTTAGGCTGCTAGGGTGCTGTATAGAAAGAGGGGAGAAAATGCTGGTTTATGAGTTCATGCCAAATGGAAGCTTGGATGCTCTTCTCTTTGGTTGGTTAATAATCTAATAGTTATGTAATATACTTTTTTTTTTTGCTAGTTTTCACGCATTCTGGTGATTGTATCTAACAGATCCCAACAAAGAAGTGGTTCTTGATTGGACGAAGCGCTTCATGATTATTGAAGGAATTGGGCGCGGCCTCCTTTATCTTCATAGAGATTCAAGATTGAGAATTGTTCATCGAGATCTCAAGGCAAGTAACATCCTATTAGATGAGCAACTGAATCCCAAAATATCTGATTTTGGTTTGGCAAGGATATTTGGAAGCAACCAGAATCAAGCAAAAACTCAAAGGGTTATAGGCACATAGTAAGCATATATTTGTTGTTCTGAATTCTTTACTTTAATTCCTTTGCCTAATCATAGAGGGTGAGAGCTCAACTGATTTGCTAAATTATTTAATGCAGCGGTTACATGGCACCAGAATATGCAATGAACGGAAGATTTTCAGAAAAGTCAGATGTGTATAGCTTTGGTGTTTTGTTGCTGGAAATTATCAGTGGGAGGAAGAACTCTGCATTTTACCATGATGGCTTTGCAATAAGCCTTGTAGCACATGTAAGTTCTTTCTATTCTAATCCTCAAAGAAAAATATTCTCAAAACTTACCAAATTCAACGCCACAATTTCTTGATTCTTTAGGCCTGGAAACTGTGGAATTCAGAGAAGATGGAAGAAATGGCAGAAATAGAAGTGTATGACATGAGCTTTAAAATGAGTATCAGACGCTACGTCCATGTCGGGCTATTGTGTGTTGAAGAATATGCAGATGACAGACCAAATGTTTCAACTGTTTTGTCAATGCTTAGCAGCGAAATTGCAGAGCTTCCCCATCCTAAACAGCCTGCATTTACTGGAAGGCAGAGCTCTCCATATAATAAGCCTTCTAAACAAAGCAAAAGTTCTGTGTACAGTATTACAATTTCTGATGTTGAAGGAAGATAATTTTTTTTTTTTTCATATGTACATATTGAAATCCCATTCCATTCCTGATATTTTTTTTATGGTTTCTCCCCTCCTCATTTTTATAATCTCACATGATCAACTAATCCAAGTATCCAGCAATCTTGTTGTTAAGGGCATTCCATATCATTGATAATTAAAAATAAAATTAATTAAATATTAATTTTGATGATTTAAAAGTTAAATAAAAAACATAACTAATTGAGCTTGTATGAATTCATCTTATGTGAGACGTGTAGTATATTTTAACATAAAATATATAGGAGGTCCAGAGCTGTTCTTATATATATACCAAGAGAGTGTTGGTAAGAATCAAAGTCATCAATATCTAGGTATAAGAATCATTCTTCACCTACTGCGCCATTCATTTCGGGTGTCAGAACATATTTTAATATAATTATTGATTAGTTGATTACTCGTTTTCATGCAATAAGGTTGGGAAGAAAATTTTGAAAATGCTAATTTGCAGGCAACACCTGGCTTGATAAATAAAGTAAAGTCTAACACGCGTTGAAAATTTGAAAAGAGTCGAACTATAAAATTCGTTGTGAATAGGACAATAGGTGAATTATTCAAAAAAAATCGTAGAATTTAAGCAAGAGAAGACAATGACTAGTAAAGTTTAAATTCATTATGTGATCTGCTGCTATATGCCTATATAGTTTAGGTTGATTGAAGGCAATAGGCCAAAAAAGTTTTTACGCCATGGAATTCCGTGGGAAGGTTGGATTTCTGATTTTCTCGAGGTGTTTGACAAATAGTTAATAAAAATTAAACCTATTACATCTTGAATTCTGATACAACAATCTTGTTTCACTTACTTGTACACCTCTTTTGGGTTAGTATTCAATATTATTTCACAAATTTACTGGATAACCAATCAGTCAATGACTAGTAAATAAAATCTCGAGTTTATGGACAGTATCAAGTCTACTGTCTACTTTCATTATCTGATCTGCTGCTTTATAGTTTGCATTGAGTTAACGCAATACACTAAGAAAGTTTTTCTTATCGTCTTCAACCTCAAAGCATTCTAGAGGTGGTTGTCCTACAAAATAACAGTAAGCTTTACTGGAGAAGCGGTCTATGGAATAAGCAGATATTCATTGGATTGCCTCACATGAATTCTTTCTATAACTATGGAGTTCAAATCATTAATGACGACACAGGGGGCATGGCCTATATAACCTATACAAACATGAAGCAGTTCAATAAACTGCACTATGTCCTCAACTCTACCGGTTGTTTCTTGGAGAAGAACCGGCATTGGTTGTATGCACTGGTCTCAAGATTTAATTGATATCCAGCAATTCTCCATGGGAGAAGAACTCTGCATTTTACCATGATGACTTTGCAATAAGCCTTGTAGCACATGTAAGTTCTTTCTATTCTAATCCTCCAAGAAAATTCTCAAAACTTCCCAAATTCAACGCCACAATTTCTTGATTCAAATCAGGCATGGAAACTGTGGAATTCTTCGAAGATGGAAGAAGTGGCAGACCCTCAAGTGTATGAGATGCACTTCAAAATGAGTATAAGACGATGCGTCCATGTCGGTCTATTGTGTGTTCAAGAATATGCAGATGACTGACCAAATGTTTCAACAGTTCTGTCAATGCTTAGCAATGAAATTGCAGAACTTTCCAATCCTAAACATCCTGCATTTATTGAAAGGCAAAGCTCTACAGACAATAAGCCTAGCAGTTCTATAAATGATGTTACAATTTCTGATATTGAAGGAAGATAATCTCATGCAACCAACAATTCTCTTGTAAAGCTCTGGTTAATAAGGTAAATGTACACAATATGTTAGTGTTTATGGACCACGATAGGAAAGTAGTGTTAGGATTTCAACCCTACACGGCTACACCTTAGTTTGAGGTTAACTGACCGCCAATGAACTACAACTATTAATTTATTTAGATCGGTAAATTAATTTAGCAATTTGAAGCAATTAGTAAACGGATTGTTAATATAATTATAGTGTATGCAAATTAACTCTTGGAAAAATACGTTATGTTAAAGAACTATGGGCTAGACTTTCTTTTGAGTAAGAGTCAAACTATATGGGCGTATGTATCCAGATTAGTTTCATAGTTTTTGAGATATTGAATGACTATGTAAAAAAAAATTATTGTTTATATAATGATATATTTTATATTTAACAATTAAAAACAAAATAAAATAAATATTATTCTGAATGACCAAAAATTAAAGGAAAATATAATAATCAAAAGATAAAATTACAAGTACACATTGTTCCAATAACAATCGTTGTGATGGGAAATGCATATGTTATTATTAGGATTTTGTATTTTAACAGCTTTAGAAATTCTTTTTCCTGTTCTATGTATTATTGTAAATCTTTTTTTATTATTAGAGCATTATGAATTTTTTGTTAGTTTTTTTTTTTCTTTTTAGATACATGTAGGAGAGAGAAGAAAATAGAGAAGAGAAAAAAACTGACCCAAAAAAAAAAAAAAAAAGCAGAAAAGCATTCCTTCACTCGTCCCTCACATGCGACTTTGCCCAATATGTTTTGTTTTCTTCTCCCATCTAGTGAACCCCACAAAAATGTTGATTTTGTAGGAGTAAAAATCAAGAAAAAATCACCATCCCCATTAGTTAAAAACCATCTGCCTTCTTTTCATTATTTCAAAAACATCAAAAATGCATTGATGTGGATGCTCTATCATGTCCTAACTAGGACTAATTTTTGTACTCTATTAACACGATTTAGCAATAATAATAAAACAATTTGCAAATTATTATATTGTTCTCATTGTTGGTTTTGTGACTCGGGGTAGTCACTCGACGGGCCAACATAATTGATCGAATGAGAAATAAAATGTAAAAAAAAAAAAAAAAAAAAAAAACAAGAATTTTAATGTGAAAATCGAAAGTTAAAAATTATGAGCCTTTATTCACTATTTTGTAAAGTATTTTTGTACAATATGGTGTCTTCTCCGTATGGATGTCAATTGAGCTCCCCTAGTTCTCATTCTTGACTCCCTCTTTTATAGTAGAAGAGAGAGTAATGCAATTATGCAAATGGTGAGTAGGCTCCCTACAATAATGGGGTATTTAATGGGATTTATGGGCAATATAATGAATAGGTTTTATGGGTAATTAAATGAATATTTATGACTAATTAATTGGATGTTATGAAAGAATAATTACTTAGGGAGCAAAGATTGACTAGTTACTCACGAGTGTTGACTGTTGAGTTCGAGTCTTATGCCAGACTGTTTGTTATACCAATTGGATACCCATATTGGATATCCATCACTCATCGTCATTAGGTCACTATATAAATCTTTTATTACTGTTACCTTGATTTATCCATCGTAACACAATTATGACTATTAGTTGTAACTTTTCATTTTACTAAATATATACTTTAAGATGGATAAAGATTTAAATTTGAAATATTGTTATTACTAAGTTAACCCTAAAATTATTTTAGTTGGAGTAGTGAATAATGACATGAACTCGTATTTTCTTCATAAAAAGATAAGATGGGTAAAGCGATGTTTATGATATGATAGATAAATTAGATGTGTATGCGGAATTCCCATAGTGAACCAACTTCTCCTACTTATCTTATTTTTATCATTAATTATGATACACGTAGACAACTAATAATAATAAAATAAATACATAAATAAATAATAGAGAAGGATTTGCGGTGACTGACCTACGTGTGGAGCAATTCTATCGAAGTTGACTTTCTACATTAATGGAAATTTTCTTCACTCTGTTCAATTCCGTAGTGGTAAAATCGAAGCAATTATATTGTTTCAATTCTGATTAGGCCAATCATAGAAAGTTAAAGTTACAATTTTATAGTTACTAAGTGAGTTATTATTATTCAAATAACTTAATTAATTGAGAATTATTTTTATTCAAATATTACTTTATTGTATTGAAGAATGAACTTAAACTATATGCTAACTTACTAATCAAAATAATGATTTTAGATCACCCGAATTAGTACAAACTCTCTTCTCCATCTCTATTGCTTAATCTTTTGATATCAATATAATCCTTTATGTTGGGATCGGATCATCAAGTTAATTTACATACACCTACTTGATTTTTTTAAAAAAAAATTAAAGATCAAAAAATTCATTTATTTAGCTTAAATTTTTGACAAAAGCCCTTAAGAAATCTAATTAGTTATTGTCAATCACATTTCTATCCTGGGGTACGAATCTTTAATTCATTATACTATAATATTCACATGATAATGCATTGAGTTATATCCCGGCAGAAGATTATAAGACTTTCTTTTTCCCTAATGGTTAATACACTATTATTTGTGATTTGTTCAGTATTAATGTTTTTTATCAAAACAGTATATAACGTATAATAACTTTAAATTTTATAATGTAGACTATATATATAAGAGCATCCCTAATAATTATAATTTTTGAAAACTGTTTGCATTATGACTAGAAAAGAGAAAATGGGAGGGAAGGAAAAAAAATCTGAAAAAAAAAACATAATTTAAAAAAAAAAAAAAAAAGTAATTTACGCGCCCGCGAGATTTGCCCTTTCAAGTTTTTGTAGTTTTTTCTTTTTGATGGGGCCCACATATCTGACAAAAATCAGCTCCATCAAACCTCCCAAATCTTCTTTCTCATCCACATTTGCTCAGATGACACCTCTGTTTCTAGGGAATGTTACAGGAAACTCATTTTTTTATGTCTTGTGTTATGAAATTTTGTAACTCATTGCTCTTGTTGAATTTTGAACTTTATCTCTTCTTTTAATACTGCATACTAAATTAGTGGGTTAGGCTCGGGCGTGCACTTTACTCATATTCTGGTAAAGATAAAATTTAGTGTGTTAAGTTTGTCCAAATTTTACTGTTTGGTTTTGAAATTTGGAGTGATATTTATTTACGTAATCTTTCGTTTTCAAGGCAAGACTTTTGAAGACCATTTAAGAAACGGGGTTACAGCTCGGAGATTTTGAACCGGGTCGGCGGGTTCCTAAATTAGCCATGCTTTTTCTCCCTCCTTTCTATCGTCATACCAAACAATTCCAAAGGGCCTAACTTTCGGCCCTTTTCGGATACAAAAAAGGAATTTGGTCACTACTAATCAACTCTCGAGAATGAGAAACGCCGGCGAGGATCACCGTTACCCACTCTGGTGCTTTCTGATTTCCCAAATTTTTATCGGAAATCTCGCCGTGGCTCTCGCCGTTGACTCCATCACTCCGACGCAGCCACTCGCCGGCAACCGAACCTTGGTGTCTTCCGATGGGCTCTTCGAATTGGGGTTTTTCACTCCCAACGGCTCCGGTAAAAGTTACGTGGGGATATGGTACAAGGAAATTGAAGCCAGGACGGTAGTCTGGGTGGGTAACAGAGACGCGCCTCTCACCGGTTCCGCCGGAATCTTGAAAATCGGCGAAGATGGGAACATCCATCTGGTCGACGGGGGTGGGAATTTTATATGGTCGCCTTCGAATCAATCGGCGGCGAAGAACACCGTGGCGCAGCTCCTGGATTCCGGGAACTTCGTTCTCCGGCGAGAAGACGATGAGAATCCGGAGAATTATCTGTGGCAGAGCTTTGACTACCCGACGGACACATTGCTGCCGGGTATGAAACTCGGATGGGATTCGAGAACCGGGTTGAACCGCTACATCTCGGCATGGAAAAGCTTAAATGATCCGGGTGAGGGGTCTACCAGCTTCAAGATGGACATCAATGGCTTCCCGGAGATTTTCTTGAGAAACAGAGACAAGATCGTTTACCGGAGCGGGCCGTGGAACGGCGTGAGGTTTAGCGGCGTCCCAGAAATGAAACCCACCGCCACCATCACATTTTCGTTTGTGATGACGAAGAGCGAGAGGTATTACACGTTTGAGCTACACAACAAAACATTATACTCCCGATTACTCGTGAACCGTAACGGGATCCTCGAAAGGTACGCGTGGATTCCGACCAGCAAGATTTGGAGCAGATTCTGGTACGCTCCGAAAGATCAGTGCGACAGTTACAAGGAATGCGGTACTTACGGCATCTGCGACACCAACATGTCGCCGGTGTGTCAGTGTCTGGTCGGCTTCAAACCCAAAAACCCACAGGCCTGGGATTTACGCGACGGGTCGGACGGATGTGTCAGGTACCACGATTTGGACTGCCGGAAAGACGGTTTTTTAACGATGAATTTCATGAAGTTGCCGGACACTTCTAGCTCTTTCGTGGACACGACGATGAATCTGGACGAGTGTATGAAGATGTGCAAGAACAACTGCTCCTGCACCGCGTATACAAACTCCAACATCTCCAATGGCGGCTCCGGCTGCGTCATTTGGACGACGGAGCTTCTTGATATGCGGCAGTACGCGGCGGTCGAAGGTGGCCAAGCTGTCTACATCCGCGTAGCTGCCTCCGATGTAGGTACGCTTCCATTTACCTTTTACTTTGAGTGTTCTCAAAATTTTCCCCGCAATTATTATCTGAGAGTGTATATAATTAAAATGTGTTGGGCGGAGGTTAGTAAAGGCTAAATCCATCAATGGTGGTTAGGGAATTGTTGGGCGGAGACTCGTGAAGAATCAAGTCCAGCAGGTTGTCTCTCGAGAATGTGATGACAATAAGGAAATAAAGTTACGTCTGGGCTACTAGTTATAACATAGTGGTAAGAAAATGCCAAGATACATAAATTAGTTGGGTTATTTATAAGTAATCGATTAAAACCAGAAAAGGTAAATCAATCTAGGTAGTCAGAAAAGACTTATAACTTTGTGGTTATCAAATCAATCACCTGAACAACTTAGCTGCTGCGTCTAGTGTTCTAACATTTTGTCCAGCCTTGAATCTTTCCAGTTTCCACTAACTTTTCAGTCCAACTTTACATTATTTTATATAAATTCATCCTACTAATTCATAAGGGAATCATTTATTATAGATTAACAAATGTAGCAAAACATGCAATTCCCATAAGAACATTTCAAAGTTCTGAAATATTAAAAAGGGGTTGTTGGAATTGTACTTTGAACATTTCTGATTCTGACAATCATTTGCACTATTTGTAAATAATTTATTAACAATTAGCAAGTGAAGAATTTGCGAAATAGTTGATAGAGGTTTGAATACCAAACGTCTGATAATGACTTAAAAACAACTCATAAGAGAATGCACGTCCTATTTGTTTGTCTTTTTTAAATATTATTTTTTGATTGCACATTTTCTCTACTTTTCTTATGCCACCCTCCTAATTCTTAAATGTGATGTGAAATGAAAGGAATATTAGACCAAATTAATCCTAAAAATGCGGGAGTCGATAGATTCAAGGTACATAATTTTCTTATTAAGAAAACTTTTTTTTTTTTTTTTTTTTTTGTGTGTCTTCTAATATGACTATCATATTATTTATGGGGTAGGAAAATGTTAGCTAGAGATGCAAGGTAGGATTTTGCTCCCGTCAATGCACCCCTAAATAACGAACGAAATATGAGAAATAAAAAGAAAAAGAAAAAAGCAGGTCATTTTAACAACTAAATGTTATCTATTATGCTAAAAAGTAATGTGGAAGTTAGAATTTACTAATTTTAATCGAATTAAATTATTCATTTATAATATTATTTATATTAAATCACGATAAATAGTGTAATTTTTAATGTAATTTTTTGTTATGAAATTCAAAATTTTATCCTTCTATTTACGAATGGTGACATGCTGCGTGGCATGTTTAACTTGAGGTGGGTGTCCAAATTAAAGAATCCTTGTTGGTAGGTGCTAATTAATATCACAATGGGTCCCACAAAAAGTTGTATCAGTTTCTGCTCCTTTTCACGACGTGTAACGCCGTGGCCGACGATTTTGACTTATGATGTTTTTAGGTGGTCCCAACACCATAAAATCATGTTTGTTTGATGCATTGATTGCATTTACTTGTAAATTACTTTTGAGGCTAAGTAAAAAAGGAGTAATGGTAAACGGAAACCTATAATTGAATCGGTGAAATATGATTCTTGTCATTTTCTTGGTCGAGTTTAGTCACACGGGGCTATAAATTTAAAATCCTTAACTTACTTAAAATGTCAGTTGATTAGATTATGACTTTTTTATTGGTTATGTCTGCTGAATCATTGAATTAGTGTAATTTACATCTTTCCAAATACTCTATCGAATTGAGATGTGATGGGTCGTGGAGTTGGGAATTTAACGAGTTGTTATGATTTCAGCACAAGGTGGAAATTCTGGAGATGCTTCTGGGAGGACAAAGCGAATAATCATAATAGCTTGTGGCATTACAGTTGGTGTTGGTATTCTTCTATTTGCATTAAGCACATTATTCATATTGAAAAGAAGGCAATCCAAAAGAGCTTTAGGGAAAAATACAGAGCTTAGAGGTAATTAATCATGAAGATTATGTCTTCTGCATTTCATGCATCTCATTATTGTCTCGATCTATTTCATCATATCTATCTTTAAACAACAGGTTTACGCGACATAAGTCAAGATCTTTTAATGAATGCAGCTGTGATCCCAAGTAAACGAGAATATTCTGGCGAAACGATGACAGATGAGTTTGAGTTGCCATTGTTTGATTTTAGCACCATTGTTGTGGCTACTGACAACTTTGCTGATGTAAATAAGCTTGGCCAAGGCGGTTTTGGTTGTGTGTACAAGGTACATTCGAATAATTTTCTGTATTTTTAAGACTATAGAGAGCACCACATTCAGTGACAGAAAGAAGTAAAAAGTTTGCTAAGTCTTGATATATAATCAATATCTGCAGGGAATGGTTGAAGGTGAAGAAATTGCAGTGAAGAGACTATCAAAGAATTCTGGGCAAGGAGTGGAAGAATTTAAGAATGAACTCAGATTGATTGCCAGGCTTCAACACAGAAACCTTGTTCGGCTTCTCGGGTGCTGTGTTGATATGGAAGAGAAAATCCTGATATATGAATACATGGAAAATAAGAGCCTGGATTCAACTTTATTCAGTAAGTTCTTTCCGTTTATGTGTTTTACGACTGTGAATGAATTTCCAGTTTATGTGTTTTGGAGTCGAAACTTATAGGCTCCTTACTAACTGTCCTGATCAAATATAAATGTATGCAGACAAGCAGAGAAGCTCACTGCTCAACTGGCAAACACGCTTCAACATCATTTGTGGGATAGCTCGGGGGCTTCTGTATCTTCACCAAGATTCACGGTTTAGAATAATCCATAGAGATCTCAAAGCCAGCAACATTCTCCTCGATAAAGAAATGAACCCCAAGATATCGGATTTTGGCATGGCAAGGATTTTTGGAGGGGATGAGACAGAAGCAAACAATACGAAGAGAGTGGTGGGAACATAGTAAGAACTAAGAACCAAACCCCACATCCTTTCATCTCTTCAGTCTTTTTTATTTACTCACATGTTATTCCCCTCAAATGCAGTGGATATATGTCCCCCGAATATGCAATGGATGGGCTCTTCTCGGTGAAATCTGATGTTTTCAGCTTCGGAGTTCTAGTGCTAGAAATTGTGACAGGGAAGAAGAACCGAGGATTCTATAACCAAAACAACCAGCAGAACCTTCTTGGACATGTAAGTGCATCACTAACAAGCTCTTCTCTTTACCATAAAGAATGTAACTTTAATTTGGGTTCTGCAGGCTTGGAGGCTATGGAGAGAAAGAAGAGGCTCAGAGCTACTGGATTCAGCCATAGGAGAATCATACTCCCCATGTGAAGTAATGAGATGCATTCAAGTTGGTTTGTTGTGTGTCCAAGAACAGGCAGAAGACAGACCAAACATGGCAACTGTGGTCTTAATGTTGGGCAGCGAAAGTGCAACGCTTCCCCAGCCTAAACACCCGGGGTTCTGTCTGGGAAGTAGGCCTGCAGATGCGGATTCATCCACCAGTAATTACGACGAATCTTGCACCGTAAATCAAGTTACAGTCACCATGCTTGACGGGCGCTAGTTGAAGGTGAGAGAGACATCACTTGCATAATTGTATAGCTCAAGAAGCCAACAAATTTTCTTTCATATCTACATCTTCCAGAAGACTATTGACTCTTTTTTTTTTGGTAACTATTGGCTTCCTTTCTTTTTCATGTCCTTGACATTTGTTGTAAATTATATTGTATCATCTATCATCCGAGCTTTAAATGAATTTAGATGTATTTCAATTTTGGAATTTCAAGAACACGTGTTTCTTGTCCTTACCTATAATCTACCACCTAGAAATCAACTGAACTGGTGTTTCTTCAGAGACCATAATGTAAAGCCATGAAGTGCGGAATCATTAATGTTTAGAACATCCGGTAGAAAGATCAAAAAAGAAGACTTGAATGGCGGTCTATAATGGAGGTTGCACCCAAGACTTTGACTATGTAAAAGTCTGCATAGGAGGTTTTGTTTATAATTTTCTCCCACTCATTTACATATTTGGCTTTATTATATCCTTAGAGTCAAAGCTCATTTTCTACGCCAACTCATTCTTGAAACTTGAAATCTGAACTTATTAATTAATTCCTCATGGATGACCTGTATTCTGAGTTGAGATCTTAGCCATGAAAACCTTAAAGACCACCATTTTCTTCTTCTTCTTCTTCCTCCTGGTCTCTCTCTTCTATCAGTCTGTTTCTGTGGATACTTTAGCTCCAGATCAAAGCCTCCTGGACAATAACGAAACGCTTGTTTCGTCTGGCCAATCTTTTGTGCTAGGCTTCTTTAGTCCACTGGGCTCGGAGAATCGCTATGTGGGGATTTGGTTCAAGAATGTGGCACAACAGACCGTGATCTGGGTAGCCAACAACAACAACCCGATATCGAATTCATCTGGTGTGCTCAGGGTCACGGCCAGGGGAGAAATAACTATCGGTTTGATCAATCAAACAGAAATCATTTGGAGCTCGAATTCGTCTTCTTTGTCTGCAGCTGCAAGCAATCCAGTGTTGCAGCTGCTGGAGAATGGTAACTTGGTTGTGAGAGAAGGGGATGGTGACAATTATCTCTGGCAAAGCTTTGATTATCCTCGGGATACGTTGATTCCAGGCATGAAGCTTGGATGGGACCTGAGAACAAGGAAAGAATGGTTCATTACATCCTGGAAAAGCATGCAAGATCCATCTACTGGAGATTCCAGTTACACTTATAGGCTCGACATTCATGGGCTTCCAACGTTAATTCTTCGTCAAGGATCCAACATTCAGTACAGGAGTGGACCGTGGGATGGTCTTCATTTTGGTCGTTATGCCATCAGTACACCCAACTCCCAGGTTGTCAAGCCAATTATGGTTTATGACGATGAAAACTTGTACTACACGTATGAAAATGGGGAGAAATCTGTGATTTCAAGATTCGTGGTGAACCAAACCGGGATGATCAAACTGTATATATGGAGCCAGGACCAAACCCGCTGGACTGACATTGCTACTATACAATCAGACACTTGTGACACCTACAAATACTGTGGCAGCAACAGTCTTTGCAACATAAATAACCAGCCTTTGTGTCAATGTCTGGACGGATTTGAGCCAAGAAATCCCCGGGATTGGGAAAGGTTTCAGTGGAGTGAAGGGTGTGCTCGAAAGGTGCCATTGGATTGCAGTGAACCGCATGGGTTTATGACCGTATCCGGGATGAAGCTGCCTGAAGGGTCACAAGTTTTGGGGGAGAAAACAATGAGTGTAGCAGATTGCAAAGCTTCTTGTTTGAGGAATTGTTCTTGTATCGCCTATGCCTCGACAGTGGCGAATGGATGTGTTGTGTGGTATGGAGACTTGCTGGACATGAGAGTGTACTATGATGATGGACAGGAACTGTATGTTCGGAGACTGGCTTCTGATCTTGTTGGTGAGTTTTAATGATCTTTCATGTGTGTTAAGTTTTGTCTCCTAGGAATAATGCAAATTCTTGATATATAGAAGCTCTTTAACTTATGTTGGATGTGTTGTTGGAATGGGAGGATTATTGACTGAAAACTTTAACATATCTGCATTTTTCTCCCATTCTTGGGTGGTGAATATGCTTCCAGGCTCCAGCAAAAAGGGAAACAAAACAGCTGTGGTTGCATCAGTATCAGTAATCTCAGGGCTGTTTCTTCTGGCCCTGATCACTTGGTATGGCTTCCATGTAAGGAGTAGTAGAAGAAGAAGAGGTAAATACATTTATTGTTCTTTTTTTGGATGACGAGGGAAATTTACAGTCACTATTCGAGGGTGGGTCTGCACGGGATAAACCTCGTCTTGCCACCCTAGCAGCAAAAACCAAGAAGCCCGATAGGCTGCTCTTACGGGGAACCGAACTTGGAACCTTGTGGCTAGCAAATCAGCAGCTAAACAGCCTGACCAATTGGGCTTGGGTTGTTCTAGAGATTTGTTTAGTGTTATGGTTTATGCTTACATAGTTACATCTTCAGAAGCTGAGGAATTTGAAGGTCAAAACCAGGATAACAAACAAGACATTGGAGAGGAAGACCTGGAATTACCATTATATGATTTCAACACAATTTCTACTGCAACAAGTGACTTCTCATTTGCAAATAAGATTGGCGAAGGCGGTTTTGGGCCTGTTTATAAGGTACTTAACAACATTAGCATGTATCAAGATTGTAAATTTTAGGATTCTAACCAATTCAAGCTGTTAATACTTAGTAAAACTCTGCAATATATGCAGGGTGTTCTCCCAACAGGACAAGAAATTGCAGTTAAGAGGCAAGCAAAAGACTCTGGGCAAGGGTTGGTTGAGTTCAAGAATGAAGTTATCTTGATTGCAAAGCTGCAACATCGAAATCTTGTTCGGCTTCTGGGATGCTGCATTCTTAGAGATGAGAAACTACTGGTTTATGAGTACATGCCAAACAAGAGTTTAGAGTTGTTCATTTTTGGTAAGTCTCTTTTGTTCATTCATACTGCTCTCTGAGTTTCTGTCAGCCACTATAGATTTTAACAAAAAAAAGGCTGATTAAACTAGATAAAACGAAACGCGGAATGCTTGATTGGAGAAAGCGTTTCAACATCATTGAGGGAATTGCCAGAGGGCTCTTATATCTCCATCGAGATTCAAGATTGAGGATCATACATAGGGACTTGAAACTGAGCAACATTCTCCTTGACAACGAGATGAATCCTAAGATCTCAGACTTTGGTTTGGCAAGGACATTCGGTGGTGGCGAACACCACCAAGAAAGTACAAAAAGAATCATGGGAACATAGTAAGCACATTTCTCTTTGAAATCCCTGGCCCGACACTCGGTACTAATACATAACGCACGCAATTTCTTATCATATATTCTTGTTTAATCACTTGCAGTGGTTATATGTCGCCTGAGTATGCAATGAATGGACTATTTTCTGTGAAATCTGATGTCTTTAGCTTCGGCGTACTGGTTTTAGAGATCATCAGTGGTCAGAAAAACAGAACCTTTCATCACCCTGACCATGACCTCAGTCTTTTAGGACATGTGAGATCAAAACCAAAACACTTTAATTTGCTATTTCTTATTAGATCCACTTTGTGTACATACACAAAAAAAAAACTAAATCTGTTGCCATTTCTTGAAATGAATTCAGGCCTGGAAACTATTTAATGAAGGAAAGGCTATGGAGGTGGTGGATGAATGTATGGAGAGCCCAGATCCAGCAGCACAAGTGTTGAAATGTATCCATGTGGGGCTTCTATGTGTCCAAGACCGCCCAGAAGACAGGCCAACAATGTCCACCACTTTGTTCATGCTAGAGAGTGACACTCCACTTCTCCCCGACCCTAAACAACCTGGTTTTCACTCTGAAAGACATGTAGCCGAGACATATTCTTCATCAACTGGGAAGATGTCTCACGTTTCAAACGATGCAACAGTAACGTTATTACAAGGTCGATGAGTTTTACCTTTTATGGGTATACCAGTGAAGGCTGACCATGCTTGATTCAAATCAAGAAAACCTATATATAAATACTTTACTGGAAGTTAAACTTAATTAGAATCTTGTGATTACGAATTGAAGTTGAGAGTGTCTTATTATATTTCAATTGATGCAATTATAATGACATTAAATTACAATGTTGATGGAACTTTACATTTTGCTTCTGATAAGTGTAGTGTGATTAAATAGTTGGTTCCTTTTCTGTACAAAAGATCAAAGTTTGATGCATAAAATAGTGTTCTTTGTTGTATATTCCAAGAAACGTGATACATATATACATCATGAGTCAGGGTTCAAAATACACAATTTACATATTCAATGTTCACAATTTACATACTTAATGTTTACTATTTACCTACTAATTGTTCACAATTTATTTTTTTATAAAATTGTGAACATTCAGTAGGTAAATTGTGTATTTTAGACACGAGTCCACCTTGCAAAATAGACCCGAGTCCACCGAATAATTTGCCATCACAAATTGCTTGAGCTAGCCTTCTAATCCGAAGAAATAAAAATTATGTTTCATTTTCCAAATTCAATTTAACAAAATTCTCTAAATTTCCCTTTTTCATTTAAAAAAAAAAAAGTATTCAGATTTAAAAATATAAAAGTATTTGAAATCTAATTGTTTTTCATATAAAAGTATAAACTAGTGATAAATGGTAATATAATAAGTAGCTGTCGAAGAAGTAGTAGGTGCATAGATAGGATGAAGATAGACAAATAATATAATAACTAGCTGAGTAAAGTAAATGATGATAGTAATGAAGACGGTAGTAACAATGAGTAAGTATATATATAATAAGGTATAGTAATTGCGTCAGTGATACATATATAAATGGATGTATCATATATAGTAATACGTAAGCATGTAACAGAATGATGGATAAAACGAATCGATGGATCACTATAATGAAAATAGTGGTGTCGAGGATGAGATGAAGGGCAAGTTTTGAGAAGTGATAGATGTTGTGGTCCGAGTTGCAGATGAGAGTTATGAGATGAAAGATGAATGAGTTAGAAAACATATATGCATTTGAAATTCATTCCATTCCATGGACAAAATGATGAGAATATGAATTTCCAAGATTGCTGTGGTCCATATGATCCTCCAAGAGAAGGACTGGAAAACGAAATATCATTCCCATCGCTTCCTCGTCTCGTCACCATTCCATCAACCTTTCCACACTTCTTATTCTCATTGCCTTCTTTCACACTTCTTTTTTTGTTTCCTTCTTTAATTTTTTTTTTCAGACTTAAAATTTCAGTAATTAGTTACATATATCTGCAAGCTGTGATTCGATTGAAGTGATCTGAAGATGAATAAAGTGAGAAGACTTTTAATAGCCCAAAACTGGAAAAGTGTTAAACTTGTTGTGCAAGACAAAATATAGGGCTTGTAATGATTTGCCAAATCGAGTAAAGCTATGCTTTATTAGCAATACAATGATTCGAAGATGCTTCACGTTTAATTTAGTTTTCTAGCTAAGTTGTGAAAATTAATATATATGATATGTTCTGGAGCATAATACGTACTTTTTTTTTCCTAGTTTAACATTTGTACTACTTGTCAGGGACCTTGTGGTCCAATGGCATTAAGTTATTCTTTCATATGAGAAGTTGTGGATTCGAGTCTCAGTTGATGCGATATTGATTCTTTGTATTCCAGTAGGTTGAGAAAATAGTTATAAACATATATTGCATATCGAGTCAGTAGCACTAAAAAAAAACATATGTACTACTTTATTTCTTGTAAGTGTCTAATTAACCTCATTAAGACTTGTCAAAGACAATGTGGTTAGGCGGCATAACTGTGGGTTTGAACCTAAATGGGGATATTAACTCTTTATGCTTCAATACGTTGAGAAAGTATGTATGAACAAATATTACATTAAATAGAATAAGAGTATATTGCTTCTTCCTAGCTCAATTTTTAAGGAGGCTAATTCCGTGGCAGAGTAGTAAAGCATTAAAGCTTAATTAGTTATTTTATCAAATACTATTTTGATGTGTATGTTTGATATTAATCTATTTATTAAGGTTTAGGGTGGTTTAACATATATATTTAATTAATATTTAAACATATTTTAATTTTGCCATTCTATTAATTAATGTTGACTATACTTAAAAAAAAAAATAAAAAAATCTCGAGTTTGATAATTTTAAGTTCCGGCCTAATGGATAGTTCTTTTATTCTTGGCTTGAATTTTTTTTTTTAATTACCTCAAGCCTATAATAACTAAAAGTAAATTTATTCACAGTAAAATATTATTACATAGGGAGTAGTATATATTTTTTATTTGGTTATTTATCACGAGCTAGTTGTCGAGCTTACAAATGCTCAAAAAGTATTCTTACTAATCATGATTAATTATCTTAAATTTTATCCTTAGTTAACTATGATATGATAATTTTACCTTTACTTTTGTTTTGGTTTTATTATTATAACTTTCACCAGGAAATACTATATATGATGTTAACTAATTACCATTATTAAAAATATTCTACCTAAATATAAAATATTAAAACTTTTTTAAAAGTACTATACAACTAAAAATTAATAAATTCAGAATTAAATCCAATCCACTCTTTTAAACCTACCACCCGAGTGTGCTCACTATAAGTTCTTCTGTCTTATATATATATATATATATATATATATATATATATATATATATATACACACACACGTATGTATGTATGTATAACAACAACAATAATAAATGTAATATATAAAACTCAAAAAATAATCTATCTAATATTTGTTTCACTATTTGAGAGGATAAAATTTTAAATTATAACAATACTTTTGATGAGATTAAATGTGTAATCTCTTGATAATAAACTTTTTATCTTGATTAACTATTTAATATGACCAAGCCGTCAACTATTGCAAAGACTAATGATTAAATTATTGGATTCGGGTTGTCAAGTGTGACTACATACCCTAAAATTTCAAAATGATATATAAAGTGCAATTTGTATGATTATATTATATACTTGACTTTTGTATTTCTTTTTCCAAACTTTCTTAAACATTGACAAATTAAATTAAATATGTGTAATGATAACATTTCTCCAATTTGCTTTCCAAATCTTTGATTTAGTGAAAAGCTCGCAACCGCTATCAAAATGTGCATTTTAAGTGAAGTTCGTGACAGAAAATCACAATAAGATAAAGCAGCGCGCATAAGTTGTTCTCTGAACCTAAAACATATATTATAATAATAATAATAATAATAATAATAATAAAGTGGGTGTCCTCCTGACTTCCACTATAACATTCCAAATCAATAAAGAAATGAAAAGGCCAAAGACAATGAACAAAAATTAGCTCAACATCAACATACATTAATTCCTTTGTCTTTTTGCCTTTTGCATACTAAAGAAAGGTAGCTGCCCTTAATTGCAACAATTAATGAAACCCACACAACAATTAATATTAATACAGAAACAGGAACAGAACCCCTTACTTAATCTGCTAAATTCAGCTCAACCAACATCGCACCATAACTTTTGTTAATCAGTACGTACTGAACCACTTTTTAATAACCTAATTAAAACCCGGCCTGTATTATCAGCTAAATTTAGCACCTGTTCCTGTCTCTCTCTCAGCGGATTATTATTATATATTGTTTATAACAACTCTACTACATTAACATTATCCTCTGATTTAACCCTAATCACTTCATTCATGGCCCAAACTTAGCTGTCTCCTGTCGGATGCTCACTGCTTTAATTTTCTCCATCTCCAACACAACATATATGCCAACTAATTTCGGCCCGACCATTAGTCTGCAGCTACTACCTGAAGGATGCTCCGAATGTTGGTGTCCAGAAATCGGAAGTCGTCTCGGTTGCCACCGGAAAAGTGCTTGATATAGGCACCAGGCATAGCCCTTGACTTCTTAACTCGGCTTTTCTCCCTTCTTCATCCTGAGATACATACATATAGTAAATATTTAAGTCATCATGCACAATGTAAATGTGATGATGAAAGTGCAAATTTTCTGGATATATATGGTGAAATAATAATAAATACATAGTAGCTTAGTCTTGTACCTGTTGATGATGTTGAGAGACTGAACAACCATTTTTCAAATATGGAGCGCTCAACACCTGAAATCATGCAACACAACCATATATAAATTTAGCTGTTTCGATCAATTAACTGTTGTGTATGTCTCATATGTACTGGAAGTCGGTGTTGGACAGAACGAGCCTAGTGGCCAACACCTATTTAGGTTACATTTAGAGGCAATATGATACTTAAAACCTTTCTATTATCACATCCGTTAATAAAACAACAGTTACGCACACATGAAAAACCATGAAAATCTTGTCTCCTTTACTTTTTTGTCATTATTCTGGTTTATCTTAACATTTACTTTTTCAAGTGGGTGGGTATTTAAAAAATGACCATAAAAAGAAAGGAGGAAGAAGAGGGAAGGTGGTGCATACATTGACTTGATCATGGAGGAACTTTATGTACTCAATAGCTTCATGGAGAACTGAGGCAGTATCAGTCTGAAATTTTCAAAACAATAAATTAATAAGCAAAAAAAATATAAATAAATGGAGAAATAGATACAGTAGTGTTTGGAAAAAAGTTAGAAGAAAAAGTCCAAATGTAAACTAAATACCTTTCCAAAAGGCGAAACCAATTGCTGGAGCGCAGTTACTCGGTCCCCCAGTTTCTCCTTGCGGACCTGCAGCCCATCCAGATAACAAATTAAAGCTCAAACTTCTCTCCTCCTCCATTTCTTTATTAACCGGCCAAATCATTATTCTTCTTACAAAAGATATATACACAAAAGTTGTAATTTAAAGCTATATTGTGTGTCGTACCTTAAAAGTTGGCAATGGTGATGGCGTTTCAATTCGCGGTCGCTTAAATGCCGCTTCCTGGTTGCTCGCTTTCTTAGCCATGGAGCTAGACTGTCGTGCTTCTTCAACGTTACTAGACTGGAATTCAGATAGATAACCCAAACCTTAATTGGATCTTCATAACATGAAATTAAATTGAACTATACTGAATTTGTTTATTTATTTATATATATATATATACCTTTCTACTGGGTTTAGATAATTTGTCACTGAATA